TTTCTCAACGAACCTATCTTTAAATTAGATGTGTAAATTAAAAACCATACGCACTTGCATATTTGATCCCTAAACACATTTGATTCTTTAGTTTTAAAAAACTTAATTATAATATCCACACTTGATAAGTTATATGAGTCATGTAACCTTCTTCTTCAGATCTCAACTTCAGTACCAATCGGATGATTACAGCGAAAAGATATATCCATTCTCGCCGTCGCAATCTCGAAACACTGCATACTCGGTCACAGACCTGCTGGAAGCCGACCCGTTCGACTATGAGATCGTCAATATAGACTACGATCTGTTCAACATACCCGAAGTTTCGAGTCATTCAATGAAGTCAGTACCTAAAACTCAATATATAAGGGTCACTTTTAACGACATATCGCACGTCACAAACAATAGGATATTAAGTCGGCAAAACCATTTATTTTTTTATTTGCGTTTCGAAAACTACATTTTTTTCTCTATAAACTGGTAAGATAATTGTATTTAAATTCGATATAGTTTTTGAATTATAGCAACACATGTCGTCAATTACAAGGCAAAATTTATGATTATGAGTATTCTAAACAGTATTACGTTAAGTTAATACTATTGCCCGTTCGGATTAATACAAGTTTGAAGTTTTATTTAAAATAAAACCCTCTGGCCTATTCAATTTTGTTTAATATGTTATTTAAAGCGATATTATTTTAAAATGATACTAGTTGTAATTTTAACGTGAGCCATTTGAACTGCGTATAGGGTATTCTCTTTACCCAGCCACATAAAAGTACTTTTAAAATAAAAACTACTATTGATACACTAACTAAACTTACTCAACACAACGAAGGATACTGTACGTTTAAATCAAGGTATCATTTTAAACATTTGAACAAGTAGTTCCGCTTCTATGATTTTTTGAAACTTCAAAACGCGATATTTCAAAACACTGTTTTTGAAGATTATACCCTTTTGTTTGTGACGTGCGATATATAATTAATATTTGTATACCATATGAAATGGTTTAATATTCTAAAGAACAATCTTTTGGTTAACCATCCTATGTAAAGAAAATAATCTACCCTATTTACAGAAAAATAATATATTAAGAGGGGAGGCGCGCTATGTTTTATCCATACAAACGTTCTCAACTGATTCCTCCTTGATTTTTATCACTAAAGAATTGATTTTCATACATAAAATATAATTTTAATCATTCTATGCTCCTATGCCTTTCTATTTCGATATCTTGTGTTTCAAAGAAACTAGAAACCCTCGAAAAGAGCCAAAATAATCAATTTTTTATCACCAATAAAGACGTCTAGTGTGGAGATTTAATAAGCATTTACAAAAAAATCAAAGCATAGAGGCGTGGTATAACTACTTATTATTCTTTGTGTAAAATTTCTTTTACGTATATCTAAATCTCGAATTTTGGAATTTTTATACGCAATTTTCAGCGTTAACTACTGTTGTCCCTATCGCACGGTATTGGCCCATGCGTAACAGCAATAGTTTTTTCAAATTCCTATTTCTCAAATGTCTATTAGCTCGCGTCACTTGCACCAAAACATTTAGAGCAAGCGCACATAGTCACTATTGGCGGCCACTAACACACAAACGGGTGTAATATTGTTTTTTTTTAATTATGTCATTGGATGTTGTAATGTTGCCAACATTACAACATCCATAAGCTGTTTCAGAATCTTTAATAGAGGTTTTAAAGCATGGATGTAGATACAATGCTGTATCATTTTTTATTGATTCTAAAAAACAACCAAAAAGTTTTTAACAACTTTACTATGAGCTTTCTCTGGTAAGGTCTTAAACGGGCTTTACACTACCCAATTTTAAGGGCCCTATCGAATGGGTGGGCGTGGCACCTAGCTAGGGTTACAGCGGCTAGATCGGGTCCCTTACTTCGTAACTCAATTTAGACCACCAGTCAGGGTAAGGGTCCTTTAAAATTGGGTAGTGTAAACATGGCAATAGAGCAACGCGGCGAGGAGGGTAGTAGGCATTCGCAGCTTTCCCCTCAGCCGATCTTCCCCCGCTGTTGGGCCAGCTCACGAACAAAACTAGTTGCGCTCGGATAGACTGAGTCAAGTCGCGCGAGTGTATGTTAGAGATCAAAAATGCCAAAATGTTAAGTAATTTGCTGTAAAACATACCTGGAATATTAAACTTACGAAAGGATGGTATTAAATTTCACATACCTATAAGTAGAATTATTAACTTTCTATTTAACCACTTTTAAACACACAATTCATATTATTTTGTTAAAATTCAATCGTCGGACTTGTTTGACTAAACAATTGACAGTACAAATTTCAGATCTGTCAATAAAAAATCATATATTTCATCTATGCACGATTGAGCTGTCATCCTTTATATGTGAGTGTTGTTATTACAATTTCGTTTTTGTCAAAGTATTTTGGAGTGCATTTGTGTGCATATCCCTCCCCCCCCCCCCCCCTATGATGATTTCAGTACTATTGTGTCACTATGGCTGCTCCCCTCCTGACCGCGTCGGTCGTGTTGCTCTATGGGTAAGCTATACTTATGCTGTGATGTAACAAGTAGATGCTAATGATAATAAAATAGATACCTATTATTACCTATACAATAAATAGTAACTACGTTTTAATACTGTTTTAGTGATAATAAATCTTTAATGAGGCAGCAGAAATTAAATGAAATCAAGAAGAGGAGATGTAGTGAGTAATTTAATGTACCATCTCTTTGCATTGAACGACTTAGGTAATTAGTTAACTGTTAGATTTTAAAATATGTAATGGGCTTTAATTATACACTATACCTTAAACTTAATTTTCTAGTAGCACATCATTATCATGCTCTATTTTGAATGAAAAGATGGGACTGCAGTTAAAATTAGTTTCGAGTTTAGAAATATTTCGCCTAATCCCAAAGTAAGCACTGTTAGGTTTTGTAATAGGAAACTATATAGGTACTGGATAGAATAAATATACTGATAAATTTTAAGTATATTTTTTATATAAGAAATACATAAAACATACATATGACTTAGGTACAAATGCTCGTATACATCATTCAAACATTTGCCCCACGTGGATTCGATAGCTGCAGCAGTCGTTAGCACCCGCCAAGCCGCACTGGGCCCGCGTAGTGGGTCATGGCCAAATCTCCTTATTCCATCCATATGATAATGATGATCAATAAAATCAATATTTAAGTGAGACTCCCATACAGCAAACGTATTATTTTGCCGTTTTTGCTCGATATTAACAATGGCAATAGGAAGACGCACAAAATATTCACGGAATATTTAGTTGAAAATATATTTATTTAAAAAAAAAAAAATTTAAAACAGAAAGTTATTTAAGCTGGGCTCCCATACAACAAACGTGTTTCTTTTGCCGTTTTTTGCTTGATATTATAATATAGTGTCGAATGTTGTATAGATAAAGGTACAATTCCGCAAAAGGCTGCAGGCGACAACCGTAGGCGACACTGCGGCTAGCGCCTGCGGCTGACCGTGCATTATATGCATTGTGCAGCCGCGGCATGTCGCCTAGGGCTTCCAATCCCGGTATTCCGAGATCCCGCGCCTTTTTCCAGTCCCGCTCCTAGCGGGATTACGAGCGCGAGATCCCGCGGGATTTGCGGGACTGCAAAAAAGGCACATATTCCGTGCGGTGACGGAGAAAGAATACAACTCACCACGCCTTCTCTTCCCGTGGGTGTCGTAAGAGGCGACTAAGGGATATCGGAGCTTCCATCCGCTCTGCTGGTGGTAGGGTGCCTAACACCCGCCTGGTTTGTCACCACCGTGCGCATGGGCTTTTTCGGCGGCTGGTTATATTGCGTCTCAAATTCGTAGTAGTTTGGCTGACGACACCTTGGATATGTTATGTTTTATTCGCAAACATTTTCAACAAAATATGGGTCAAAGCAAATAATAAATTTGATATTTTAATAATTTGTCATAAATTATAATTGAGATCCTTAGTTCCTTACAGTTTGTTTAACATAGGTTGATTTTAATCTCAATAGAACTTATAGAAGTGCTATGTTATTTTTTTATGTGTAGTATTTAAAAGGTAAACTATAATAAAAGTTTAAATACGTTGATTATTTCTTTGTTTTATTTAGCTTAATAATTGTAATAATACAGTACCCCTAGCACGAACCATTATCGAATTCGAATAGTTTGCAAACCGAAATGTCAATGTCAAATTTTGTATGGAAACTCGAACAGCAGCGGCACAAAGTACGTAACTAGAACTAAAAATCAGTACACATTTGACAATGTCATTTCGGACTCGCAAACGATACGAAATCGATATTGGTTCGTGCTAGGGGTACTGAACCGTTGGTGAGCGAACCCGACTCGTACATGGGCGGTGTTTTGAACTTTGCGTCAACTCCACAGGTCAAAGTTTCCCAAAGAACCAACACAAAAGTGAGGATTCTGACATATACGATTATAGTGGAGAACCGAATGCTTTTATCATAGAGTTGCTTGGTCTACGAGACGGCTACAGTAGCAGGTATGTAGAACTTTAATAATTAATCAATCAAAATTATATTACCACGAATAATTTAACTAACTAAATAAATAAACTTATAAGTACAAATTAAATTTGATAACAATATCCTTGTCATTTTCTATAGGTACAGAATGAAAAGGAGAAATATAGTTTTATTTTTTAACTGCTAGAGAAAATTTTATTAGAAAAGAAACCATGCAGCAAAAAGGACTTGAACGGCAATTATCTTTTGATTTAAAATCTAGCAGTTAAACGCTTAAAACATAAATCAGTAATTGCTATTTCTTGTTTCAAATGTTTAATATTTGTAAAGGTATTCGTTTGACATTGTGGGTTACCTACAATGCGAAGAGATGGCGCTGCCTTGAAGCCTAAGAAAGGCTAGAGTAGAGAATATACAAATCTGAAAATTTTGTATGGAGACTTGAACAGCAGCGCCATTTGACATTACATTTCGCACTCGCAAACTATTTGAATTCGATATTGGTTCGTGCTAAGGGTACTGTTAGCAACCGGGGTTTCGCACTGGGCCAGCTGGAGGTTTGTGCCCTAACACTGATATAAACAGTCTGATGTTGATAATAAAATTATAAATTGCAGGCACATGTTCGACTTACTGGAGGCAGCTTTTGAAGTCATGAAGATTTACGATTACTGTATCATCAGAATTCCGTGTGAGGAACAGACACTACCTCTCCTACAACACTTTAGTGTGAGCAAATTACATACATACATATACATACATTACATACATATACACCGCAGAATAGAAAAAGAACAGAAGGCGCAAGTAGGCGTTACCCGCGTAACCTCGGACTGCATGTATATTTTTTTGGAATCATTTCAATTGACAATATTGCTCACTTTGCAGCCATATTCCCAGCTTCTGGTCGACAAAGACAGAAATAGGTAACCTCGGACATGCGTGTATATTTTTTTGGAATCATTTCAATTGACAATATTGCTCACTTTGCAGCCATATTCCTAGCTTCTGGTCAACAAAGACAGAAATAGGTAACCTCGGACATGCGTGTATATTTTTTTGGAATCATTTCAATTGACAATATTGCTCACTTTGCAGCCATATTCCCAGCTTCTGGTCGACAAAGACAGAAATAGGTAACCTCGGACATGCGTGTATATTTTTTGGAATCATTTCAATTGACAATATTGCTTGCTTTGCAGCCATATTCCTAGCTTCTGATCGACCAAGACACAGAAATAGGTAACCTCGGACATGCGTGTATATTATTTTGGAATCATTTCAATTGACAATATTGCTCACTTTGCAGCCATATTTCCCAGCTTCTGGTCGACAAAGACAGAAATAGGTAACCTCGGACATGCGTGTATATTTTTTGGAATCATTTCAATTGACAATATTGCTTGCTTTGCAGCCATATTCCTAGCTTCTGATCGACCAAGACACAGAAATAGGTAACATCGGACATGCGTGTATATTTTTTTGGAATCATTTCAATTGACAATATTGCTCACTTTGCAGCCATATTCCCAGCTTCTGGTCGACAAAGACAGAAATAGGTAACCTCGGACATACATGTATATATTTTTTGGAATCATTTCAATTGACAATATTGCTTACTTTGCAGCCATATTCCTAGCTTCTGGTCGATAAAGACAGAAATAGGTAACCTCGGACATGCGTGTATATATTTTTGGAATCATTTCAATTGACAATATTGCTTACTTTGCAGCCATATTCCTAGCTTCTGATCGACCAAGACACAGAAATAGGTAAGAAGGGCCTTGTGGGTGGAGCAGACGCGCCACAGTTGTGTGAGCAAATACTCATAACTTGACCAAAACTTGGTTCTGATTGCATCGTTGCTGTGAGCGCTGATTGGTTCGATTGTTTGATGTCGCGTCGTTTGATTGGTTATAATCTATTAGGTGGAAGTGTAGTAGGGCGAGCCGGCGACATCGGTTCCCGTACAAACGGTCTCTGATCACCCTTCTAACCTCTTTTTGTGGTCTGTGGACCAAGATATAGGCCGAACAGAAGGTTGGCGAAAATATTTGGCAGTATTTCCAACAAACACGCCATCACCTGATGTTAAGTCTAGGTGAAGTCCAATTGCTAAGATTTCTGACACGGCAAAAAAATTTACGCTTCCAGACTTCCTCATCTTGCCAGCCTGAAATAAATATCCTATCTCGTGGAGCTCTGGATTTTTCTGACAAAAACTCAATACCACCAAAAGGCAGTGTCATTGTACTGTGTATTGTCTTCTGTAAGATGGAAGTAACATTCCCAGGATGGCGTCTTAATTCAACTGGAAACCGGCTAAGCTACGCCGTACGTTTATTCATACAAATCAAATAGCTTCATACAAACGTCAAGACTTGTCCCTTTGCACCAACTTTCAGGACTTTACTGTAGTAAAGAGATGACCAAATATACAGTAAAATGCTTACAGTACAGTGAACAGCTTAAGTAGATTTTGATTTGCACCCACAGAAAAGTTGTATTTGTTTTAGTGTGTATGGTGATGGTCGCAGATGACCTTTACAGCTTCACCGGGTTTGGGGACGGCGAGATCCTAAGGGAACCTGAAGCCGAGTATTGGGGAGTGCCTGTAGAGGTATTCCAGGCGGATGGCATCTCCCCACGGGGGGAGTCTCCTGTATGTCTGGAGTCTCTAGTCTACTCGAACCTGAGGGGGTGAAAAGTTGTCTTGTACTGTGAATTGTTGTAACTTAAATACTCCCTGATTTTATGTAATTCATAATGAAAACTTTATTAAGTAATGGTTATTTTTGTTATAGTATGTACCGACAAAACGATCGGTGTGCAGTAAGTACGCCTTGTATATCGCGCACAGGGCTTCGGTGTTTGGGTAAATAAATACATTCATTTTCAATATATATATATATATGTTTTAATATTGGGATCACCTTTTATTACACATAAGTACATAACTATTACATTTTTGATGCTCACTATTTAAGTTTAATCTGAGGTTATTGTTGATTTATTTATTTTTCATAGCCTGTACGAGCAAGCGCGTACATTTTGCCCCGTGGGCATTTTACGCCACATGCATTTATTTAGGTTAATTATGAATCAGTTCGTCATCGGTCATTATTCGTGCCACGCGTTCTCACAGTCATATCATTTTAGTTTCGTAATTATCAGTTTGTTATCAGTAATATATCATTTAAACATATCAAGACTTTCTTTTCTCTCTCTATATCATGAAAGGTGTACAAAACCCGTACATAGCCAACTACGACTCTTTTACTAAGAACCTATGTTGGCACCTGAAACAATAAGCTAATTTCAGTACCCTTAGTACGAGTTTGAGCTCACGAAAACTATCATAGTTTTCGTATTTGTAAATTATGTTTCTATGTCCATTTTGGTGAAAAGTAACCAAATTGAACACGCAAATGATTTAATGATACAATTTAAACACTGTTTATTTGTATTGAAACGAAAACAATAAAATCAGTACCCTTAGTACGAGTGCGAGCTCACGAAAACTATCATAGTTTTCGTAATTGTAAACTCGTACTAAGGGTACAGGACTCTAAATCAGATTAAAAAAAAACACGTTAAAGTGTTTTATAAACAAGCAATGTTTAGGGTTCCGTCCCTCGAAAGGAAAAACGGAACCCTTATGGCATTACTTTGCTGTTCGTCCGTCCGTCTGTCGAGACCCTTTTTCTCAGGGACTTTTCGAAATTATAAGATACTTACTGATGATATGTCATCCCAGTGTCCTTTTTATTTCTTGTAGTATTTCTTGCAATTTTACATAGTTTCACTACACAAACTAGCATTTTGCTGCGGATTGTGCTCAAAATTTAATAAAATATTCGCTACTAACACATGAAGCGCAGCTGTATTTAAATGTGACTGACACGGGGAAGGTTCCGGTACGCCAAATTTGATGTAGTATTTATTGCCGCATTTCGCCAGTACGCCGGCGATCATTTATCTATAGTTAGATCACATAATATACTTTTTAATAAGTATTATATACCTACAGGTTTGTACGGAACCCTCGGTGCGCGAGTCCGACTTGCACTTGGCAGGTTTTTTTAGTGTAATTGTGTAATATTACTCATGTACCTACCTAAAAAATAATACATTGTTGTTTATAGTAAATTGCGAGTGAAGGAAGCCGAATTGGTTGACGTGCCAAATATTGCAACTTTACTAAACAATTTGGAGGGAAAAGAGACTCTATGGACCATAGAGAACTGTATCCACGCCAGGGACCAACACAAAGCCTACGTTCTCCTATCTGGATTAACAGTTGTCGGCGTGGGCATATTGGAGTAAGTCGTTTTCTTAACATACAATAGCATAGTATTTTTGAAGTGAAACGTGATACTTCTTTTCGGACGGTAAATGGAAATGGAATGGAATCGGTGTAAATGGAAAAATCTTATGGAAAAGATGAAACGGAAATGCGTCACAAGCGTCACACGATCATACATATATGTGCGTGTGTGTGTGTGTCTGTGCACGTGTGTGGGATGCGTGCGCACCTCTTCCCGACAAGCATGAAAGTTGGAGGGTAACTCGGCGAAGGCTGAAACGCTACGAGCATCACGCGACAATTTATATTTAATAATATATGAGTGATGCGTACGCTGCTCTATTCCCCTATGCCTTATGCACCACCTAATGTTAGGTTATTTAAGAAAAGAAGTTTCACTTCAGACGGACCACACCCTGCACACAAATTTTTATTTACATATTATAAAAGGTACCCAATTAACCCATACCAAGTTCCCAATTAACCTGATGGTAAACATTCACGTGACCTATGAACGCCTGCTACACCAGTAGTAGTATAAATCTCGCGTTGATGACTCATTAAAAACTTCTTTACGCCTCTTCTGTAGAAACCCATGCAAATAGCATTGGTCTCTCAGAAGAAGAGGAGTAGATAAGAAGAAACCTATGCTATGTTTCTGCGTCTGAATTCCGCCGTCAATACAGATAGGGCATATTGGTTCACGTGGCATGCCTTACAGACGAGAGGTTAACCTCATAGTACAATACTGTATTACAATATATCAACAGTGATTAAAACAAAGTCGCTTAAACATCACTTTAGTAACTTTATAGAAACGAGGATCAAAGTAAATGAGAAGTAGCGCCATAAAAAGAAACGAGCGAGCCTTACAGTAGTCGCGTATGATTTCTAACATTTGAAACCTCACCTCATATTAGTAAAAAAAAATTGTGTGTGTCAGCTCCGACGCACGACTGGAGTTTACTCCTTAAGTTCGATAGTCTAACCAGACGCAAAAAGAGTTTATTTAACTTAAAAAAGATTGATACTGTATGGAAGGGTAAATTAACAAATTAATGAAATTAATATACATATATAAATATATATTTATTCATTTCATATACATTTATTATAACTAATCGACGAAATATTTTACATTAAACTTTTAAATAATTAATTTCATAGTCAATTTCAGATGTGCATAAATATATCATTAGGAATGTTGATAAATTATGTAATTATTATTATCAGACTATTATCATTTTTATAAATATTAATTATAATAAAAAATAAAAATATTAAAAAAATTGAGTTGCTTAAGCTCCAAAGAAATACTCAAATCTTCACAAAATGTAACAAGATCAACGCAGAAAAAAAATGATTCAAATGATATATATATATAACGCATTTTTGACCAAAAGTTCCTGGACGGATTATACGATATTGATTGACAGTTTCTATCACACCATTAGCTCGAAAGTAGATCGAAGATAATTAATCACAAGAATGACATTGTTTACTATGATTTTCCTACAGGCCCCCGGAACAGGTAGACTTTATCCGTGCCAAGTTCAACATTAACCTGTTCCACAACCAAAAGTACCATTACCACGGTCAAGGTTACAACGCCGGCATTACCACAATAAAAGTGATCCAAGCGTATTCCGTTTTCGAGCCGCATTTCAGATTCTTCGCCAGAGAAATGATGAGATTTGCCGGATTCAGCACGCTGTTGTGGCTCACGGCTTATCGTAATAAATGGGTGAGTTTTTAGAACGCTAGGAATAAACTATAGGCACTACTGAAGTGCTATTTAAACTTATTGATAGCTGTGAGCTCGATGGCGCAAGTGGTTAGCGCATTCGGCTGCGATCATTGAAGTTAAGCAACTTTCGCAGTGGTCGGTCATTGGATGGGTGACCAAAAATTTACTAGCTCGATCTCCTCCGTGCTTCGGAAGGCACGTTAAGCCGTTGGTCTCGGCTGCATTTGCAGTCGTTAGTACCCACCAATCCGCACTGGGCCCGCGTGGTGGGTCGTGGCCCAATCAACCTATTCCATCCATAGGGAAGGCCGGTGCCCCAGCAGTGGGGACATTAATAGGCTGATGATGTGCGGCCAGGGTGGAGCTTACGTTTCGAAGTTTCCCTTATGATGCTAAGTAGAGAATCATTAAAGGTTAAAATTTTACGATACCATGCTCTGATTATCCAGCCGTTTAGACTCTAACACCTAGCTTAGATCTAAATCAGGACTATTATAACTTATCCCTTTATCTTGGATAGATTTTTTGGCAAATTCTAAAAAAAAATGTACTTGATAAAGCTAATTTTGTTCCACTGTTGCGTGAAAGTATAATTCCTGTGTAGTTGTACAGAATAATATTGTAAAATAAGGTTAACGAAATTAACTATTTTAATTATTATAATTGATAAAAGTCTACAAAGATAGAATACATGGAGCAACACGGCCGACGCCCCGACTAGGAGGGGGTGGGCATACACAGCTCTAACCTCTGTCGCATTGGGCATACAAGTGACACATTTGTACAGGATTTGGCAGTGTGTTGAGTTATTGTTTATGTGCGAGTGTCGTAATTACAGTTTTGTTTTTTACGCACGTTATGTTGAAATGCATGTATGCGCATACTAGATGATGAATGATTTGAATAGAATAGTATTATGTTTCAATGGCTACACCCTTCCACCTTGCTCCACGTTTAAACACCATGCCTATCTACTTTATTCCGGCTGTGAAGTTAGCGCAGAGTCATAGAGCAGTACCTAAACATTTACCCCATTATTAATAAACAAGAAATAAGCTTAGACTAGTTACGCCGTGTTTTGTTCATGTCACTCAAATGCCATTTGTCATACAGAGACAAAACATGGAGTAACTAATCCAAGCGTAGTCTTCGTTTAATAATAAGGGGGATATTGTTTGAACTGAACCTGTGCTTAGTATCTATTACCGCTAACTTCACAACAGTTAAAAAGTTTAAATCACACTGTACGCTAAAAGGGTATTTTTTGTCTGTAACAGGAATCGCACAAAGCAAATTCATTGGCATCAGCAATGATGCCTCTGCTACCGAAGACCACTGAAATGGACTGCACGGTCACACCGGAACTGCAGAGTTTCGGGAATCTTTGCCAGAAAATGTATGATCACTTTATCACTTTTTTACATAAGATGAAAAAAAAACTCCCATCTGCGAGTCATTTTGGCGTACGCTGTAAAAACCACAAAAGTTACATGAATACAATGTGTAGTGGAAATGTATTTCTTAAATAGTTTTCCAAAAAATCTCTCTCTCTCTCTCAAAAAAGTTTGCTACAACTTAATTTCGTGAGCCATTATCGCTAGAGTACTGAATTAAAAATAAAATAATGTTTGATATTGATTTCCACATTGCACACTTTGTAGTAACTAATATTTTTTTATCAAAACAAATACTTTTATCGCTTCTGATATTTAAGGGCGATAAATTTTGCCTTTTACACTTTGTCATTTGGACAACTATTTAAAAACTTACGACGATGACAAAGCGATTGCGCGGTGAACTTTGCAGGATCTAATCCTCCTCGCGGTCTACTTCGGGAGTGAAAATTTTGATGAATTGTGGTATTTAAAAATGTAGAAAATTGCAAAATAATGGATCCATTCTAGAATATCTATTAGGTCCCGACTGTTAAAGTAGCTTTATTCCTTATTTAACCGCAATATAGACGACTGGGCTTGTTTTTTCTTTCAGTTTTTATATTATTTGACGAGCTCAATTTCCTATATAAATATACTTATATTTTTATCATTATATGTATTCTATCTGTTACCCTAGTATCCCATAACACAAGCCTACAGTGTTTACTATGGAGCTAGGCTAATACGGTGTGAGTGTTAGAAATATTTATTTATTTAAGGTAATTATTAAACAGGCGTTTTTTTTAGATTTTTGAAGTTTAAACTTCTTTAGCGGCGTTGTAAACTTTTTATTGTATGGGTAAAAAATGTTAAACTCGCGGCAAGTTAAACACGTATGCTGATCGCATTATGACACACAATAAAATTGGAAAGGTAGTTGACTTTCAATATATTGGACAAAACATAGTAATATTTTATTTTAGCATATTGTATTAATAAGTCTCTATCTAGAACGTCCACGTGGCAGCTTTATTGCGAAGAAAATGCATTTTTTACAATAGATGTCGCTAGGTGCGCTTAAATGTGATTCATGTAAGTTGATTTCTTTACAATAGATGTCGCTTAATTCGCTTAAACGTGATTCACGTAAGTTGATTTTTCTGAGAGATAAACTTTTTTAATGTAATATAAATTGTCATGTTTGTATACGTATGTGTAGCGCAATAAATAAATATTGTATTCTACCACATACATGATAGTACTTTTATATTGATAATTAAAGCAATTTGTGCAAAATTATTTCTTCAAGTTTTCACTTATGCCGGCACTCCCGGAATGCAACCTGTCGTTTTTTTTTATCTTAAGATAATAAACTCTTGTTTTACAGCACTGCATTCAGCACTTGGTATATAGGACGGAAGTTCACCTCTGTGCAGAAAGTAGATATCAATACAAGGATAGTCGTGATCGGCGCTTCGCGTACTGCTATGTCTTTTCTTAATAGTCTGTTGTTCACGTAAGTAGTTAAACACTGTTCGGTCATAATAACATTTCTGATACTTAATTGATTTAATAGGCGTGACGACGAGGTAAAGTAAATGAGATTCTATTTCTTCCGTCAGTTGGATTAGCAAAAAATAAAAGACATGTATTTGTTCTTTGGTCAATCAAACCAAAAAGAAGCCTCCGGCTTTTTTTTCGGTGTACCTATGCTGTTGGTCGCAGATGACCTTTACAGCGTCACCGGGTTTGGGGACGGCGAGATCCTAAGGGGACCTCAAACCGAGAATCGGCTAGTGCCTTTAGTAGTATTCAAAGACATGATTTATTTCCGTGATTTTCCGGCACGTAGCAGCTTGGATGCTCTGCTTTTTTTTTATAGTAGGTCCGACAAATGACTCCACCCCACCTGATGTTAAGTGAAGGTGAAGTCCAGACGTGAAGATAGCTGATACAGCAGTTTTACCTGCCACACCAGCCATCCTCACCCTGCCGGCCTGCATGTTGCTTCTTCTCGCCTCTTTTAAAGGATCCCAGGTTGTAAGAGGGAGGGAACACGTGAGCGGGCAGAGCATTCCATTTACGGATAGTGCGACAAAGAAATGAGTCATCAAATTTCTTTGTACGCGTTGGAATTGTGGCCACAGTTAGACGGTGACAACGTAGGCCAGCGCGCGTAGTCCTCTGAAGGAAAGGAGAAGGTGGGATAAGAGAGAATAACTCCTCAGAACACTCGCCGTGGTATAGACGATAGAACGCGCTTAGTGACGCCACGTCACGGCTCAAGGTGTTGAGTCACCTCCTCATCGCCTATGATGCGGATCGCGCGCCGCTGCACTGTGGAATATGGTAGAACAAACGCATATCAAAATTGATTTTTATTACTGATTGAAATTGGGTAATATATGAATATAACTTAATAGTTCAAAAGTCGAAGTTTAATATTCTGCAGCGTAATTCATATTTTATTTCGTAAAAGTATTTTTTTTCATGTAGCAAAGTTAAACGTTTAGGCAGCTGGGAAATATTAAGTTCTTCATTTACGTTTTTCAACGTGAAATAGTTTTAAAACTTGAAATGGAAGGTATAAGGTATTATATATTTTTGAAAAGCACATTTATCAGAGGTTAGAAATAAATACAATTGATTGTTTTTAATACGAATATAAATTTAAAAACCAATTTAAAGAAAAAATGGAGATTTTTTTTTTTCCGCAACTTCGTCGAATCTTTTAACATTTAGAGTTGTTTACCGATGCTTTGAATTTAATGTTAAATTATAGGTTAGTTACTCATCTAAAACATATAAAAAAATTAGCTGCGGCTTTTTGCGGTTTTCGGAGATATGTGAAAAAATCGAATACTAGTCTGGGAACGGAAATCGCTATCAAATGCGGTTTCGTAGTTTACTTTTATTATCAATAGTTTGTGGTACATTTTATGAATTAATTATGTGATATTGTTATGTAGGTTTTATCATTTCGATGTCATTTTCCGTGAGAAAATAGATATCTGAAATAATTCCCACATTCTGAAACAATATAAAAAGGGCAGTGAAAAAATATGTCTCCATTACCGTTTCAGTGGTCTTTACGTCTACGTACTCTAGTAGGTACGGTTATTTCATTATTCAACATGTCTACTTTTAACTGTACTTAACGTGAGTTAATAGTGTCTTATATAGAAGGCGGAAAAACGACTGCGGCACTTTCAACATATTTGGAGGGAAAACAAATTTCGGATGTCAATATATGTTTTATTACTGACCATATTCAAAGGGATGTCATCCCTTCGTTTAATAAACGCTGGAGTGAAGCAGGACGCAATAAAAATACCTTTTTAAGAAAGAACACCAATTGGTTGGATTCTGAATATTCGTTAACTATACCAACATCAGAAAACGTGTCAACAGACTCTACACCGGCTACTTCTTCTGGTAAACGAGGAAGACCGTGTGTGTCATATGGAGACTCTTCAGAATCAAGCAAAAAAAGAAAAAACACCATTTTGCTAAATGAATATGGTTTGGAGCACATTCTAAGCGCATATCTTCAAGGATAATTTTGCAGGCTTTGTCATCTGGTATAGTGGTAGATAGTAAGAAATTTGGTAATTATGCTCTGGAAACTGCAAGAATATACGTGAGTAAATATAGTTGGTATTGCCATCATCTGTCCACAAAATTATAATTCACGGAGAGAGTATCATAAACCATTTCGCGGTATTACCAATTGGGCAACTTTCAGAAGATGCTCAAGAATCTCGCAATAAGGACTATAAAAAATTTCGCTTACAACATGCTCGGAAATGCTCTCGAATAGCATACAAACGAAGATGTGTTTAATACACTACTTTACACTTCAGATCCATATATAACGAGCATAAGAAAACCATATGCAAAAAATGTAAAGGAGCTCGATGAAGATACTTTACACCTTCTCAAGGTTAATGAACTTATTTCAGATCCTGAAGCTCACCGGGTGTAAGATGTCAATCTTGCTGAGCAAAAAAAAAGAAATATATATTGCGATAATTTTTATTTGTTTCTGTATGTTAGCGTAGTGTTAAAAATATTTTACCATTTTTAATTTTATATTATCAATATAATATGATAGTTATCTTAATAGAGTAATTAGCATTAAGAAATAGACGTACAATATGTTTCTAAAAAATATTTCAATAAATAAATAATACTAATAATACTATTTTAAATCATTTTGTGACTTTTCTTTTTTAATTAAAAAAAATACGCATAATTCCAATTTATCAAACATTACTTATATGAATCCTTATGTATCACTTTATATTATAGCAAAATTTTATAAGTCTATCTTTCAAATTGACGGAGTTACAGATTTTTAATCCGAAACACATCGAAATATTCCACAGTGCGCTGTAACCTATCCAAAGCATCGAGCAAGTACTTGGCGGAGCCATCCCAGAGGTGCGAGCAATATTCCACGCAGGACCGCACTTGCGTTTTGTACAACAAGCACAGTTGATCGGGCGTGAAAAAACGGCGCACCTTGTTTAGGACTCCGAGTTTGCGTAAAGCTGTTTTGATCACGGTTTCGATGCTAACGTCGTAATATAAACATGGCTCATAGTTTTGACCAATACAAAATATCCAAATGCTCAATAAAAGTCTTTGGAAGGTAGCTCGACAAAGTAAATAAAAAAAGGAGTCGTTATTCCGACGACGCATTCCTGCAAAGGATGCGAAACGTCAATAAATAAATAAAATCAGTGCATCTAAACCGTTGAAACTTGTTTTATTTATATCTATTATATTAAGACAAACAATTCGTTTACAGAGACGCGTCGTCTTACCTTAATTTCACGAGTGTGACCCTCATTTCGCCCGATGGTTTACCCTACATACGGCACTCGAAACGCGCCGCGGAAATGATGTTCCCCGTATACAGGAACAGCACTGACAAGTATATGAAAAGCGTACCTTACACGTACTACGTTAATGTCGTGCAAGGCACTATGGTAGATATCGATAGGTATATAAACTTTGTTACCTTGAGTAAAAACTAGTATAGAGTCTGTGCGGGAAGAGAATGGGCGTGGCGAAAAACGGAACTAACATTGAGATTTTTATTTGACAATCAAACCCAGCAATCTGTAAAACGTCAAAGTTTTGTATTGATACGGATTTGTTTGTTGTTGTGATTTCTTGCGGTTTTTTGTATTTAATCATGTCTAAAAGGGGTAAAACCTTACAAATACGGTAGAAAAGCACTACAGCGCCCTGCAATCTAAATCCCATTCTCTTTCCGCACAGACTCTAACTATATTTTTTATATTTTTTTTGTTTCCTCCCAGATTTTACAACCGCTCCCCCGCGGTTGTAAAATCCTCATGGATACCCTACAGCCGGATGCGATTTTCACGGGCGGATCCGATGTGGATCTACCGGGTCCGATATAAATCTACGCGGATTCACATCGGATCCGCGCGTAAAAATTTTACAGAATAGCACTGCTGCTCTACGCTTAAAAAAATATGTAAGTTAGAGAAGGATGTACAATAAGACCATCATGATATGATATATCGATACCACAGAACGTAGCTTCGTGTTCGGAACGATGTAAGATATTTTTTATCGTTTTCAGGAAAAACAACTACATAGTTTTACGTAATGGTAATAAATTTTATTACGATAAGCTATTTTTACTACTGGGTCGACAATATCAACACCCTGACTACATGAGTGATGTCGAAGAAAGACAGAAACTGAATGAGTAAGTATATAAGGTACCGACTTAATCTTTTCAAATGAATTTGAAACTATATCTCTCCTTACAGCTTGGTTAAAGAGCTCAAATCTCAGAAGATCTACTGGCCAGATTCATGATGGATCTAGTGAGGACTTTTTTCTCATTGGATCCTGATCTCATAGGAAATTCACGCACAATAGGTACACGGTGTCGTACGGTGGGCTGTTTCTTCAACGCGACACCGTGTGCCTATTTTGCGTGTTTAATGGCTTCAGTCCTGCCATCCCAGCTCCTCCAGAAAGCCCAGCATTCCTCGGATGTTGCTGTGGGCTTCTAAGTGTCGCCGCACACGGGCCACCTACCACAACCACAAAACGCCGCCCCCATATATATTTTATATAGTTTACATACATTTTATATGGATTCGCCACTCACGGTACGCCGGTGGCCGCCACACGCTACAAGTCGTCGTTGCTCGCTTCTTGTGGCCCGCACCGGCCACCTAATGCGCCGATACAAAACGCCGCCGCCGGCCGCTGTCGCGCGCTTCAGCTACTTTAGTAGCCGCTTCTAGCTTCTTGTGGCGGCGTTTGTGGCTGTGGCGTGTGGCCCGTGTGCGGCGACACTAATAGTGTCCGTGGGGATCCCAGCAGGGAAGTCCGCTGTATTGCAATGTCTCTACACTCCTGCAGGACATTCCTCCTCCAGGCAGGCTCTCATGAAGTAGATTAATTGAGATTATTTTTTTAGTTGATCCCTTGGCCAAATCCATGATGGCTCTAATGAGATATGTTGTTTTCATTAGATAGGTATACCGTTTTGAACTTTAAATGGGTGTTAAATAAAAAAAAGGTTTTACTTTATTATGATGAAATGTTTTTGATTCACCTTATTGTCATGTCCTTCCTTTCTTCATTAAGCTCTTCTTCAGAGTTTTTGGGTGTGTATCTAACGCATTTAACTAATGAAATAATTGAATTACTCATTCCGATTTGTTTTCAGTCCCAATAATATTATTACCTTTTTTTTGTGTCTGGAAAATGCCTTACGCATCCTTCAACCACTGGGGGAGCGAGAAGAAGGTATGTGGGACTCCTCACTGTCTTCTTCAGCCAGCCCTGGAGCTCGCTGATGTGAACAGGGCCACTAAAAACCAGACAATACTCCTGCACCGTCACCCGACACGCACTATGAGGACCGCGGTCCCCCTAGTGCATGCCGAGAGGGCGGGTGTGGTCGCGGAACTCGTCTCCGAATGGCCGCGCACCCGTATAATATTGTTACTTACTATTAATATTAGTCCAAAACCTATGAAATTGGCGTTTTTCATAAAATAAGTTAACGCTTTTTTTATTTTTATATGTTTTTTAATCAAAGCAATTAACTATGCATTCAATGCATTTTGACCAGGTAGTGGTAGCTTATTGATGCCATTTTTGAAAAAGTCTGCTGCAAAGGCATTTTCAACTGCCTCTCGGCTATCAAAATTTTTACCCGCTAAGGAGTTATTCAAATTCTAAAAAAAGGAGAAATCTGTGGGAGCAAGGTTTGGTGAGTACGATGGATGACGGTGAACTTCTAACCCCAGTTCTTGTAACTTGGAGACCGTCTGCTGTGCAGTATGAGGTCGCGCGTTGTCGTGTAACGAAGCCGAACGATTGACCAAAGCTGGTTGGAGATGTGCGAGCCTCTCCATCATTGTATTCAGTTCCTAACAGTACACATCTGCAGTAATACTCATCCCGTTTGGTAAAAAGCTGTGCTGAAGTGTGTAAGAATGACACCGGCGCTAGACCACCAAACAGTGACCATCACTTTTTTAGAGGTTAGTTTTCGTTTGGGGCATTGTTTAGGTACTGGACCAGGATCTAACCAACTTGTGGAGCGTCTGGCGATTGTTGGCAGAATCCAATTTTGCGTCGCAAGTAACAATGCGATTCAATATGCCTTCATTTGTGTGCCTGTTGAGCAGTGCAATGCTCGACTCGACGCGTACTTCGCGCTGGCGATCATTCAAATCGTTGGACAGCCATTTGTCAAGCTTTTTTACCTTGCCAATTTGACGCAAATGGACCAAAATTGTTTTGATGTTCGAAAACTGCTTCTAATTCAGCTGTAGATTGAGAATCATCAGCTTCCATAATCGCCTTTAATTCGTCATGGGCAACTAAAGCCGACACAGGGTTTACTACTAGGGTTGAAATTTCCAGAATAGAAGCGTGCGGTGTTAGAAGTGTTAGCTTCGTATGCTTCGTTGATGTTGTCGGCCGCTTCTGCCGATTTTATGCCGCGCCATACTCATACTCCATAATCATTCGAAACAAAACGCTAACCAGTAAACAAAAGAGTAATTTTCAAAAAAGAATTCCATATTTTTAAAATAAAAATAATGAAAACTTGAATTCTTAGCAAAAAAATGGACTTGAAATAGCCAGTACTACAAAACGGCAATTTCACTTATTCTGTATTCTCCCTATACCATCTATAAAGAAGGCTTGTGCACCAACAGTGGGCACATTAACTGCCTGATAATGATGATTAATATGTATGTATCTATTTGAATTTCCAGGTTCGGCTCAATGCCTCCTTACGTTCGGCTCGACGTACCACGAGTGGAGTACGAGGTTGGATTTTCGACCGAGACTGTCCCAACCAATGTGTTCATTGTGAACACTTTAGCGATAGCGAAAAAAGCTATCAATTATGTGAAGACCCTTTTCTTGGACTATATCAGCTTTAGTATGTTTCCAACTTATTATGTTTGCCCAATTATTTAGAATCGCATAGAAACCTATTTTTTTTCTGTGATAAAGTCAATCTATATTTAAATCTATGTTTACTAGAAAAAAAAACAACGCGGACCAGGCAGCAGATGGTAGTCAAACCCCTCCCCCTGCAGCTCTCATGATTGGCAGCAGCACAAGAAGGGCCCCCAAAAATGAGGCTACTAGTATGAATGAGCCGCTGAAAAAAACATTGCTCAACCTTTGATCGCTTCAGCAACTACTTTCTCCCGTGTTTGGAAATTCCAAAAGTGGTTTTTCTAACACAGAAATTGTTGATTTTTCAGATGAGCATTGTTTTTTTTAGGAGCATACGATTTAATTTTTGGGGGCCCCTTCTCATGCTGCTGCCACTGATAAGTCCAGTCAAGAGGGTTGCAGCACTGCATTTTCGTGTAGTCTTAGCCCTCTTCTATCTTAGTCTTATCAGAAACCGTATTTTTATTGGTTTTTAATTTATTCTTTTAATAGCGGTGCCAGGATTTTGGCTTTGCAGCGTCTTCATTTCTTGTTCTCCTGTTAATGGCGCATCTATTTATATTTCACCTGGGAGTCTTATCATACTAGGTTTTGTGTCGTAATCTCTTAGATTAGACTGTATGTAAGAAATGCCGCGATCGGGCAATCCGTAGTTCGTGTAGAAAAAGGCCAAAGGGGAAGATCTTCCTCCGAGCTGGGTGATGTTAGCTCGGGGGCCGCGGCCCGACTGATGTTGGCCGGGCATCGTATGTATGGAGTGTTTGGCTCCGAATTTCTCTTGCGCGATGTAGGCTTCCATACGTTGTGAACGCAGAGCCGGTAGCACCATCCCTGAAGGAGGCGAGTTACTATTTCCTCTATGTCCGCCACAGTTCGTCTATTTATTGTCGGTTGTTTATCTCTTTCTAAAGACTATTTTTCAACCTTTCTTGTCAATTTCATGCGCATGTCTTTCAGTCTATCCTCTTTCCTTATTCATGGGTCTAATTAACTTCTGGAATGTATTAATATTATGATTTATTATTCAGATAAGATCATAGTGTATGGCAGTTCCATACACGCTTATTGCTGCTTAGCTGCATTGCTTGAAGCTGATATACCGCCGGAGAGCATCATATTTGTGGAACCGTTTCCACCCGAGAAGACTAGTAAGACTAGACTGCCGGTATTCTGCAACGCATACGTGAGTGTTTTAAAAATATTATAGCACTTATTATATTAACACATTTAATACTAGTAAGCGCATATAACGGAAGCTCTGAGAAGGAATATTTTTGCCGTCTTTTCGAAACCTTTTCATTGTTATTCTGCTCTTATAAATTGTAACGTAATTTAATATAGCTTATAGCGTTCCTCGATAAATAGATTATCAGACACAAAAAAAAAATCTAGTCGAAGTAGTATTTCCCGAGAATAGCGAGTTCAAAATGAAAATATTAAGTTAGTATAGTATAGATAATCATCATCATCAGCCTATTAATGTTCCCACTGCTGGGGCACAGGCCTTCCCTATGGATGGAATAGGGAGATTGGGCCATGATCCACCATGCGGGCCCAGTGCGGATTGGCGGGTGCTAACGACTGCAGATGCAGCCGGAACCAACGGCTTAACGTGACTTCCGAAGCACGGAGGAACTCGAGATGGTAAATTTTTGGTCACCCATCCAATGACCGACCACTGCGAAAGTTGCTTAACTTCAACGATCGTAGCCGAACGCGCTAACCACTTGCGTCGTCGAGTATAGATAATAAAAACCAGGAAAATTTTCATCTGAAAATGTTAATGTAGACTCGGAAGATTTAATTTGGGGCCCGCAAGTTGAATAAGAATAATAATAAATATATATTTCCAACTCTCACACCAATTAGCCTAGCCCCAAAGTAAACACTGTAAGGCTTGTGTTATAGGATACTAGGGTAACGGGGAGAATACATACACATTACATAATAAAGAAATACATATTAAACATACATGACTGGAGTACAAATACTCGTATTCATTACACAAATATCTGCCTCCACCGGGATTCCAACCCGGGACCTCTCGAGTCGGCGACACCATGAAACCCAGCGTACAAACCACTCGGGTATTATTTCTACCAATTTGAATTAAGAAATATTGACATTCACTTCGTTTTGGTCATCGTAGGTCGACAAAACTATAAGGGAAGTGTTAAACCACGAAAACCTGACAGTATACCGTTCGTACTACTTCCAATCGTGGGCGCTGGACGAGTTTGGACTAGTTACCCATGTGGAGTTCCTCTCCTACTTCAAGGTGGTGCGGCTGCAATGTGCCGCTCTATTCTACTACGGGAAGAGAGGCATCAACGCTATGGCACTTGATGGTTATTTTGATACTGAAGTGATTCGATGCTAAGCTAAGACTCAATTTTTCAGACATTGTATTGTTGTTTATGATTCTTTTTAAGCATTTAACTGGTAGATGTTTAAATCTAAAGAAAAGTTTTACTAGAAAAAAAACGACCAGGCAAATGAAGCTGCCTTGCAGCTTAAGGCTAGGAAAATTTCGACGCGGCCATGAGGGCCGTGGCCGTGAAAATGGTGGCAAGACTAGCATATGGCCCGCCTTATGGTAAGCGGCTACCATAGCCTATGGTTGCCTACCTGAGCCAATTCACAGGAACCTTACCGATAGAAACACAATACCACCAAAAGGTAGTATTGTTTTACTGCTAGGTGCAAATTACTTCCCCAGGCGGGCGCTCCAATTCGAGCGCAAAATCCGCTATCCCTACCTCTCTTAACGATAAGAAAATAAGATATTCGACGCTACGACTACATTTTTAGACAAACATCCTTGTTATATGCTGACACTTCACATTGACACTTCGATGACGATGACATCACCTCATCAGTCTATTAATGAACCCACAGCTGGGGCACAGGTCTTCCCTATGGATGTAATAGGGAGATAGGGAGGTTCATACACGCGAGCCCAGTATGGATTGGTGGGTGTTAACGACTGCAGATGCAGCCGGGACCAACAGCTTAACGTACCTTCCGAGTTTTTGGTCATCTATCTAATAACCGGCCACTGCGAAAGTTACCTAACTTCTACGATTCATCGAGCTACAATACAAAGCTGGGTGAAAAGAACGGGGAGGAGTATCCGGGAGGATACCTTTGAAATTTCCCTCAGTGGCTGAAGGATGCGAAATGCATTTCCCAGACATAAAAAAGACCAAAGATCCTTGAGTGTACGCCGCTTGTACAGGCCACTAGATACCATCGGCGTGAACAATATATGATACGTTTTGAAAGAAAAGAAAACTTTGCAGGCTAGCTTTATTCTCTCTTCCTAAAGTTCTTTGAATTTCCCGCGTATTTCTAGCTATTAACAGAAGCAGTTTAGTTGTACGGCTGTGGTATACTAATTGTCCACGAGTTCAGGACCAAAGATCCTTGAGTGTACGCCGCGGGTACAGCCACTAGATTACCATCGGCGTGAACGATATATGATACGTGCAATCTTGCTGATTTTATTTTTTATTTATTTGTATATATTTAAACTTTATTGCAAAATTACAAAGCAAATGGCGGACATAATGCCATAAGTCATTCTCTACCAGTTGACCAGTAAGAGCGTGAGAAAAAAACTAATATGACGGGGGCGCAATAAAGACAAATTTAAGATAAACCTATGATACAAATACTCTTAACAGAATACATACATATTATACACATATATATACATACATATACACACATACATACACACACATACATATTTATAATACATACATAAGTACACGATTATGTCAGTCAAATATGAGAACGCTGTTTAATGCTATTGAGATAGTGCTCACGAACCAATCCCCTAAATGCAAGTTTGTTAGACGCTTTACGTATATTGGAGGGCAAGTCATTCCAGAGTCGTACAGCCGTTTTTGAAAGAGAAGAAAACTTCACAGATTAGCTTGATTCTCTCTTCCTAAAGTTCTTTAATTTTCTCGCGTATTTCTAGCTATTAACAGAAGCAGTTTAGTGTACGACGGTGGTATACTGATAGACCACGAGTTCAGGACAAAAGACCCTCGCATTTACGCTGCTGGGACAGCGACTAGGTACCACCGGCGGTACTACGCTGACACATTTCGGCAGAAGTACTTCAACGCTGGAGAGATCGGGGAAAAGGTGTTATATAGACTTCAAAATTAAATTTTAACTAAAAAAGTTGTCAAAGAAGCATTAAGCCCGCTTGATGGTAAGCGACCACCATTGCGTCTCTAGAATAGTAGAGAGAGTCTCTAGAGTCTCTGGAGATGCATGCGATAATCATAACAATCATTTATTTCGTAATAACGATAATAATAATAATAATATAGCCTCTTTATTTCCATAATGAACAAGTAATAAATATCATAGAATTATCTTAAATACATGCCTGAAATAATAAAATATCACAACAATTAATATTATAAATTAGATTACAATTAGCATTATATAATTTCATTTCATTCAATTTCAATTGTCAAATAATAATAATAATAAAATTTAAAATTTAAATGATAATTGAATGTCAAAGTAAAGGCCTCAACGAGTAAAGGCCTCCTCCATTTTGCTCCACGTCTGTCTGTCCTTTGCTTATGCAGTCCAATTTTCACCAGCCTTTTTTTTTACTTCATTAACCCACTTTTCTCTCGGTCTACCTCTTTGCCTTTTGTTTGTTGGTCCCTGCCAAGCAGTCACTCTGTATGCCCATTTTTACCTATCCATTCGTGCAATGTGACCAGCCCATTTCCATTTTAGTTTTAGAGAATGTTCCAAAGCATCTATTACTTTTGTAGTTTTTCTTATTTTCTTTTCGTTGTATGTTCAGCGATAATCATAATAATCATTTATTTCGTAGGTAGTAACGATTAGAGATGGGCGTTTTTAGATATTTGTGAAATCGATGCGCATCGGTATCAGGTAAATCGCATCGGATCCGCGCACCGATGCCGGCATCGTATCGATGCCAAGTGAATGCTGTGAATGTCAGTATCGTAGTATCACAGACTTTTCAGTGCCAGTGGCAAAAATTGGAACTACAATTTATCCATAGCATTGTGACATTTTTATGACATTTGTTCACCGCTAGCGACATCTTCACCGGCACAGATAAGTTTGCGGCATTATTGCTATAGTAACGTTGACAAAAACTAGATGGCATCGGCATCCAATAACGGCATCCAGTCGCATCGGATTCGCGGATCCAAACCTGGCATCGTTATCGCGCATCGTTATTCTAAAAACGCCCACTCCTTGTAACGATACCAGAGTAATATACACGCCTAGCCTAATCTGACTCTGATTTCTACCCTGAGGAGTAATGGAACCTTTTTTGTAAGGTGGAGGTTACTTCCCCGAACGGGTGCCCGTTTTGATCACGAAATCCGTTATGCTATAGAGTAGCCGTGAGCCTATTGTAAATTCATAAATTCCTCAAATACGAAAATGTTTAGCACTTATTTAAAAAAAATAATGAGGCCATATACCTACTTCTAGCTTGGGAATCAAATCAGGAATCAACTGGACCCACTCTTCTCAAAAACTAATCAAAACAGAAGCAAGAGCTCGGTGAGATTTTCCATGCCGAGCGTAGTGGATGGAGATGTTTTACCTATAAACTATGTTTCTGGCCAGCATCACAAATCAATGTAAGCTGTAATTTATACATTTAAACAAATCACTATAATTAAGTCACAACAATATCGAACTAAAAACTTATCATTAAAATTAACCCTAGAATATTTATATATACATATTCACAAGAAGAATACGTCATCCAAAATTCCAATTCGGGGCATGGTACCCAGAACACTGGCAGCATTTTCTCGCTGAATGGCTAAACTGATTTTCTGCGCGAAATAGCTGCCAGCCCTCTGATCACCCGAAGAGAGAATCAGTCAATTCGACATATCCTTCATAAACCGCTTCATGTCAGCCTACCACGACCCTAACGTCTCGAAAGCTAACGCCGCAAACTCATAATCTTCAGTTATAGAAGAGTATTTATGACGCTTGAGAAACTGAGCACGGTCGGCTGCGGCCCCAACTTTAGTACAAGTAAATAATATAAATAATAATATAATTTGTATTCATGCCACAATACATATAAAGTACAAAATTTACAGTTGTTAAAGTTATGTGACAAAAGTAATGGATTTGTTTCTTACATCACTCATTAAATAGAACATGTTTCCATGGGTTACATACACTAATTTTATTTATTTATTGACGTTTCGTATCCTTTGCTGGATTGCGTTGTTGGAATAATGCATCTAACCCGTTGAAACTTGTTTTATTTAAAAGTAATGTTTTATTTCACATAAGGCAGTAGTCATATAATGAAAAGTACAACAAACCCTAGTTATTCTATGAATATATCTTGTGTTATGTTTTTATTTTATAGCTTGTGTTTTGAGATTAAATCCATTCCAATAGGTTCCTTAAGATGACACAGTAATAGGTTATTACAGGATAGTGCACAGCAAATCAGGTAACAGCATTTGTTCATAACAAAGATATTAATGTTATTTAACTGACTTAAGGTGACTTCATGAATCATCTCTAAAGTCATTTTTCAATTTGATGACTCTGTAAATAATAAAACAGGGAGGAAAAAACAGCCCTTGCTGATTTTCTTGCCGGTTCTTCTCAGTACAAGGTCTCTCGCCGTAGATTTACGAACCGATGTCGTAGCTTCTAGACATTCATGAGTGCTTGTAACAGCCTAAACTGAATAAAAGATTTTGATTATGATTATACTAACTATACCGTAATTTAACTTTAGTTAATAATGGTTTCAGCGTTGTGTATTTGGTTAGCGGGCTAAAATTATGAATTTAAAATGTTGCATGTTTAAAGTTAAGTAACTAGGATAGTTACTACTCAATCATGCAAGTTTGCTAAACGGATTGGGGTGAGGTATCACTTTTAAGGTCCGTACTCACCACAACTACGGAGCCAAAATAAAAATCTGTAATATGAAGAATCCTGCAAAAATGTAATGTACCTGCTTAAATATAAGAAGCAATATTGATTTTTGTTCTTGATCACCCATGGAAACAGTGGCAATCCTCATCCACTGCACCAATGTACGTGATGTTATCTGTAATATTTTCTATATTCAACATCCATCTAGTAGCGAAACCGCAATAGAACGGTGATCAATTGCGCTTTCCACTGCATCAATGTTTATTAGGGGCCAATCACTCCGCCCCCCACCCCACCCCACCTAAGAAAAAATAAGCATAGTCCACATCCACCCCCTGTTTCATATTTATTATATTATATTATATATACTCGTATATATTACGTAAGAATCTTTAGGAATAAACGAATATCTGCACGTTTGATTTGTTCTAATGTTTATTTTCAAAGTACCAATTTTTAGGAATATTTATTTGTACCTAGTAAGGGGCCGTTCAAGTATTACGTAAGCAGATTTATCAAGAAAATTTACCCCCTCCTCCCCCTTGTCAGCAAAAGTAAGCAAAGCTGTTACCCCCTCTCCCATGCTTACGTAAACATTGGTAGCCCAAAACCTATAAGCATTTTTCTTTTTTTTCTTTTAATGAATTCTGTTATTTTATTGATTCATGAGCTTTCATGAGCTTCATGAGCAGCAGTACTTAAATAGGCTTAGGATAGAGCACTTTAACGCACATAATATATTTAATTAAACAAAATTTATTGACATAGTATTCAATTAAACATAGAGTAAGGTACAAATATTACAGTCTCAATTATTTAAATATTTTTGGTAAACATATTAATTCCAATTAACAGTCTTCAGTCCATGAGACCCGAATCCATGATGCTGACGCATTCACTATCTCGACCCTCCGCCCTCCATGTCATCAAAAATAAGCAAAGCAAAGACCCACCTGCCGCCTTTAGTGCTTACGTAATACTTGAACGCCCCCTAAGGTGCTCTTAATTTTTATTAATTTGGTAGTAATAACCTACTTTTTCAAAGTAAAATCAAATCTTTACTTTGCGCATCTGTGTGATCTTACGTTAGAACTATTAAAACACCCTCCCGCCCCCTTGTAAGAGAAAATAAGACATGGTCAACCTCCTCTCCCCCTAAATTGCCTTACGTAATAAATTAATAACCCCTTACGTCAGTCTTAGAATTAGTAGTACGGCGGGCTGTTTCTGCAACTCGACACCCAGTGCCTATTTTGCGTGGGGATTGGCATCAGTCCTGCCATCACAGCTCTTCCAGAAAGCTCAGCCACCAGGCGCGGTCGCAGCTTGAAATTTTGGAGGGGGTCACTCACTACACTAATAAAAAATACCGGCCAAGTGCGAGTCGGACTCGCGCACCGAGGGTTCCGTACAAACCTGAATTTTCAAAAATATTTTTTATTATATTTACGGTTTTCGCAATTTTTCTTTATCTGTACTATAAGACGTTACTTCGTACCAAATTTCAAGATTCCAAGTTCACGGGAAGTACCCTGTAGGTTTTGATTCCCGTGCGAGTTTGAGATTTTTCAATTTGACCTTTGATTTGGGGGGGGGGGGGGTCATATCCCCTTTGAACCCCGGCTTCGGACCGCGCCTGTCAGCCACTTACGATTATCAAAAGGTCGGAAACCACTGAAGCGAACGACGAAAGGCTACCAGTGTTCAAGAAGCCCGTCACCACTTACTGTACGCTGCCTGGAGGTCTCCAGTACTTGGAAGTACGCCCGCCTGGCCTGAAGCAACCTACCTATTACGTTCAGTCCTTGAATTTCAGTGTAAGTTTTAACATTATTAAGTAATTAACACCTTGTTTTTATTTTCTAGTATTTTGATACTATAATGTAGCGTGTGTTCATGTCGTTACAATGAGGTTCATAACATCCAGGGCGTATTGGCGAAATAGCTATTAACGGGATTGTAACCATGTTAAAAACCGCAAAAATCAAAAAAGTGTCGTTCCGCGATCTGATACTGTGAGTATTGTGTGTCGGGAACAATTGCGAGTGAATAGTGAGAATGTGATCAGTGGTAGGGGCATCGAACGCAGTAAAAGACGACGTCAGAGGGTAGACCGATATGTCTGCCAATAACATCTACCCGCAATTACTCCAGTTACTCCGTGATCATGGCGCTTGCAACGGTGCCGAAATATCGGAGACTCTTAAAAAACTAGGTACATGGTAACAATCCCGTTAATAGCTATAATGTTAGTGACCATGAAAGTTTAGAACAATATATCGTATTGGCGTATTTCAAAGTATGGCGCCCCGAACCACCAGAATTAGTAAATCAAATCAAAATATAGGTCAGTACTCAGTACTGGATGCCTTATCAGGCTTCTGCCGCCCCTCTCCCCTCCTGTTTTAATTAAAATCCCCACAGCTACGGCACAAGTCTTCCTTGTGCATGGCATAGGTGAATTTGTCATGTTATGAGACCACGCTGAGAGTAAAGTGCCTTCAGTGGATTGGTGGTAGTTAACGACTGCAGATGCAACCGGCAACAATGCAACAGTTGAACGTACATTCAGAAGCACGGAGGATCTCAGGATTGTAAATTTTTGGTCACCCACCTTTTTACCGGCCGTTACAAAAGTAAGCTGAACTTGCGTCAACCACTGCGTCATCTAGTTCCTCAATACAATCATATCACGTTGCGGGTCGTTACGTTCCCTAAAATATAGTTGAGCGAAGCGATGGCTGGTTCATGCGTCATGCTCGTGAACGCGTGCTGCTAGCGGAGATGAATCTGCTCTAACTACTTTGATATTTAAGATGTTAATGACTAGTTACACGTACTATAAATAACACTATTTGTATTTATACTGTATGACACAGCAACCCAAATGCAGGTGAACAAATAATTAATCGTATAAAGCGTTAAGAAATGTATGGCAACATGTGGCAACATGTGGCAACATGTCTCAAGGTTCAGGGACTGACGTAAAATGGCGTATTATGCGAGAAATCGTATTAAGCGTGATCGTTTTAAACGGGTTCTACTGTATGTGTAATTACACCCTTCCCTTTTTCATCCAACAGGGTACCGTGATGGAGACATACAAACGAGGCTACTTCAAGATCCACCTGAACAGCAACAATGTTGTAGACGGCATCACGTGTCTCAGCACCCAGAACTACTCGCTGGATAACTTCCAGAATATCTACGGGTTACCAGCAAACGTGCTAAACAACGTCTACCTACGGTACACTGTAAGATAACTTAATATAATACTTAATATTTTAAGCACTCACACCAATAAGCCTAGCGATAAGCACTTTAAGACTTTTGGCGCGATTACAATTGGTCGTTGGCCCGAATACGGGAGCCAATCTTAGATTAAAACAATAAGGGTAGATACGGTACGCTCATACTTGCATCAAACAAAAACTGATCCCACTTTACTACATATGCAACACTCACACATCCACCTGTTTGTAAAGATACAATCGAACGAACGAAACAGCAATTTAAGTTTCAACGGTAGCGCGAACGGGACGGCGAGATCCGCGTCACTGCATTACCGACCCGAATGACACAGCACGTTAAGTTTCAACAGCAGCGCGAACGAGACGGCGAGATCCGCGTCACTGCACTGCCGACCAATCACGCAACCAGTACTCGACGTCACTACCGAATAAGATTCAAAACAAACAGCAATTTTTATGAAAAAATATATTTTATAGTACTTACGAATGAAAAATGATGGCGTGGGTTTTATTTCTAGATCTTGAGCAATTTCAGCACTTTTTAAAAACACACTTAGGCATTGTTTTATCATAGGTATAAACACAAAATATAAGCAATATTTCTTTTTGGCGTTCACATGTACGTCGTTTGCATGTCAAGTTGTGACTAAAGCGATTAAGGTCGTGGACCACAATTTATGTGGATCACTTTTGTGAGGCTAGTGCCGTATCTACCCTTTTTGTTTTAATCTAAGGAGCCAATGGAATTCGGGTAAACTACTTTGTGTAAATGAACGTAGTCGAGTACGCCCGTATTCGGGTAGATTTCCTTTTGTTTACCCGACACCGTCTTCCAGCCCGTATTCCAGTATAAATATTGGTCAATGGATGGGTGAAAAAGATCTTCTACCATACATTCCTCCGTGCTTCGGAAGGCATGTTAAGCCGTTGGTCTCGGCTGCATCTGCAGTCGTTAGCACCCGCCAATACGCACTGGGCCCGCGTGGTGGGTCATCGCTCAATCTCCTTATTCCATCCATAGAGAAGGCCTGTGCCCCAGCAATGGGTACATTAATAGGCTGATGATGATGATGCTTGGTTGACGGTACCAGTTGATGTGCATGTGACACATTTTGTAACGGTAATCGACGGCCAACTGGAAGCGAACGCAAAAAAACTTATATTTTATGAATATACTAGCGGCCCGCCCTCGCTTCGGTGTAGAGCTGAAGCGTAGACTACAGTTTTTGTTCTCAGGCTTGTTATATACACAATGACATTCATCTATGATTATTCTTATACCTGCATGCAAAGTCTCAGCCCGTTCGGTTTTAAAATTGACAAAGTTTCATACAAACTTTCATTCCCTATTTTATCCCCTTGGGGGTAGAATTGATCAAAATCCTTTCTTAGCGGATGCCTACGTCATAACATCTACCTGCATGCCAAATTTCAGCCCGAGCCGTCCAGTGGTTTGGGCTGGGCGTTGATAGATTACTACGTCAGTCAGTCACCTTTGAGTTTTATTTATATAGATTATAAAAAAACTGAAGATGGTATATTTATCTTTTCCAAACTTCTATTGACATCACGTCGCTCATTTGTTTTGCCTTCCCAGAATCTCTCCACTAACATTTGAAATTTATGGTATGGTATTAAAGTTCAAATTGACTTTTAAGTATTATTACGAATCGTTTGTATGGGAGTAAAGAAAAGTTTTGTTTTTTGACATTTTCAGGCATTTTTAAAATTTTTCTCTTCATAAGAACCATCCTCGTACTTCAAGGAATATTCTAAAAAAAAATCAGCCAAATCGGTCAAGCCGTTTTCATGTTATGTCGTGACAACGGAAAACGGGTTTCATTTTTATATATATAGATCATATGCATTCATATTAGTTACTCTATTATCTCAATCATAATACAACCCTTATTGCTTACTTTGCCACTAAGCTTATTGAGTGAGCATTAGAAATTTATCATATCAAAATCACAGTAGTTACAAACGCACGTACTCATCGTACTGTTACTTGTCGGGATGGAGCTCGAAATTATATGCCAGTTCACGCTATGTTCATGTTATGTCAGACTCCTTCTGACTAAAACACACCCATAATTCATGCTTATGGCCGGAAGGGCTTTACAAGCTTCATCTGAAGCGATCATCCCCTGAGAGGAAGATGATGCACTAAGAGGTGGATGATGCAGTCCACTGCGCGGCGCCGGACGCGCTTATTTATATACGCCATTCGACGCATTCCATAAAAGTCCAGTCCAACTAGCACACGTACCTACTTATACGTAGGTAGAACGTGCGTTCTAACACGCATGAGTTGTAAACAAGTGCAGATATTGTTGCACTTTCACCCTTAATTCGCTTTGTATTAGGCTCATATTAGAATGAACCTCACCATTCGGCCTCAAGCCGCGGCGCACCGGTTAAATTTGTTTTTACTATGTTCGAGGTTTTGGTTCAAGAGCGTTTGTGACAATACCGGGATTCGGTCGAACCCGCAGTACATACCACTCATCAGAAGATCGCCAAATGAACGTCCATAACTTTTATTAATATATAAATCGATGTTTGTTATAGCACAAGCAAAACTGTGATAGAGATTACCATCCTTATAGTATAGACATTTGCACATCCCGGTAAACATCTTGAGCAACAACCATAGACAAGGAAGCCTGCGCACACCCTGCGCAGTAGCAATTTTATACACAAAAACCTCTACTGCGCAAATTGATTTCTCTGTGGTTTTGCTCAGGAAGGTTGCCGCTATCTATAGCTGTCAATAATTTTGCTTATTTATCTTACAGGCTAAAAAGATAGATGATTTTTACGAATTCTTCCGATCACCGTGGGCTTTCTTTCTATATCATGACCAGTGCGATGATTTATTTGCTATGGCCAAAGAGTTGCGACCTAAGGTTAGTATAATCATAAGAAAAAAACGCTTTCATTCACTTTTTAGCTGGTACGTAAGGTTGAGAAAGCTTAAAACTACAGTCATCACCAATTAATAGACCCGTTTGACATTTGTGAGCCCATGAAGTTTCATAGTCGAAATTAGTTCTAAACTCGAAAAAATAATTATTGCTTTTCATTGTCGATAAGAGACGTTTGTCATAAAAATCAAATCGTTAATTTTGGGGCGTAGTATTAAAATTTTACAATATCATATAAAGGTTTCGGAAACTTTTTATTTCATGTTGAAAATCATTAAATATACATATTTACATTGTAAAACATCGACAATGTTTATATTGTAATATATCGACAACGCTGCGGCCGCACCGGTAGTGCTGTAGCGTACCGTTTACAAACAACGGCTGAAAGAGAAAATGCATACGAGCGGCGAATACTACTACTAGTTTCGACATAATACTAGCATAAGCCATAGTTGTATCATAAATATTATAATTTTTAACATACACAAATCGCTATTTGACGGAATCTTTAAAAGTTTTGGTAAAATCAATTGACATTATAATTATTATTAAGAACTATGTGTCCTTATTATTTGAAATTATAGGGTCCTTATTCACTACATAACTCGGCTCGACATTTTTTGTGATTGAGCAAATGCAATTGTAACAAAAAAAATAAGTTTAAGACAAATTGACCTTTCGTACCATTGTATCATTTCAAATTACCTACAATATTAAATGTTCTACAATACATATTCAAATCAATCAAATACTCATACAAGCTTGAATCGATTTATTGTGTACCGAGTCGTAAGGTAAGGTTACATCACTAGTTACAAAGTCAAAACGGGCCTATTATTTTGTGATGATTGTTGTTAAATAAATATAAAAGGTTTTGGACAAATTGATTTGCAGTAACCATTCTTACATAGATTTAATATGTTTTAGTGTCAAAGAAATGGAGACACTCTGGGAGAAACTTTGAACACTATCGCAGACCATTTAAGTGATTTCGTAAGTGTAAAAATGCAATGAAGTTGATGAATCACTTTTCAAATTACATATAAGAATGAATTTCTATTTACTGAATGAGTTCAAATGCTATTTTTGGTGTTGAGTATGGTTCCAGAGCTCCACAGAGTAGGGATTAATGTCAGGGTAGGCAACGGCAGCGGTGCTAGTGATATTTTTGGATTTTGTTAAAAGGGTGGCAAATAAGCATATGGCCCATTAAAAAAATGATCGCAAGCATCTATAGGCTATGGAGACCGCTTACCATCAGACAAGTCATGTAATAGGGTATTTGACAAGTTTTAGAAAACGATCTCATGTTATTGACTAATGTTTATGGAGTTCGTAAAAAGTGGATATTCATCATTTTGTTGTGTATTTCAGTAAAAATAACCAAATCAAAAACTCCATTTTCAAGTTGCCGCGAAAACGTTTCTCTGGACAATATGGCGTCTCACTGGTGTGTGACGTCACACGACTGTTATTTAAACGTCAAACGATACAATGTAATGTCACTTTAACCGGAAGTTTTCTTGCGTGTGACGTCATTTTAGGCTCCGCCAATCCCAAGCGTTGTGGGTCACGTGACAATAGATAAGAAAACTATAAACTAAAAGTTTTTAGTAAAATTATGAATATTTTTTCTGTAAAAATAGTGAAAATCCCTGCCAATATTCATGCTAAACACAGATACTAACAATTGGCACTTTATTTTTAATACTGTCAAATACCATATTGTTTGCCTTTTAACATAAAAAAAATTGTTATGTACCTATTATTTTCTTACTTTCTCTACATATTAAAATATTTGTTTATTGGGTTTCCACGCACACCACTCATTAAATAAAACAAGTTTCAACGGTATAGATGATTTTATAAAATCATAATTCAGACGACGCATCCTGAAAAGGATGCGAAACATCAATAAATAAATGAATCAGTGCATCTATACCGTTGAAACTTGTTTTATTTATATTAATCATAGATAAATGATTGGTTTCACTTCAAGCGAGACCAATCATTCATCTATGATATTAATATACCTAATCAGGTCATAAATTCTGTCACATGTTTAATATAAAATAATTGAAACAAGTTTATTCATTATGTAACCATTTATATACTAAAATGAACTTAACAAAACATAGATTCTTATGACAATAAAGTTTATTCAAAATGACGTCCGTGATTTTGAATAAGTACAGGCCTTCAATCTGCGCGGCCAGTCGTCTATCGCAGCACGAACGAGGTCCATGTATATGTATGTATAATATCGGCGGCTGCCTTAATCAAGGATGTCTTGAGTGACTCCAAATTGGGATGAGGCTTTGAGCACGCCTTTTCCTCCTGGACTGAAAGAGGGCCAGTCTTCGTGCCGGATGAAGTCGATTTCACGCGCCGCCAGTCAGTCTTGTGTGCTCTTCGCTCTATGAGCTGGCGCCGAATCTTGTTGGAATACCCAGTGCCTGTTAATGAACATGGTATGAGAAACAGGTTCCACAAGGTTCGTCAGGACTGCATTTTGATACACAACTGCATTCGTTTTTGCTCATTTCTTACAAAAATGTACCTCTGTTAAGCCCCAATAAGAAACTCTCAACCATACCATGAGCGAGGATGGAAAATGACCTCGTTGGACACGCGGAATACGGTTGCTCGCTTCTTCACTACTGTGTGCGTATACCTTATCATTTTGTTTGTTGAAGCTCTCTTCTACGGTAAACATTTTTTCATCCGGAAAAAGAATTTCCCGATATTTTTTTCCCGCGTACCGCTTCAACAAAGCGCGGCATCTCTTCAGTCTCAGGTCCATTAGACGATCATTCAAACGAGTCCTGTTTTTCTTCGATATGCCCGAAGCCATAAGTCTTCATTTAACACCCTTTTCACCGTGGTTCTGCTTAACCCCATCTGAAGGGCCAACAGTTTCTGCTTACGTTTGGGATTTCTTTGAATTCGCGCCTTCATAGCTTTTATCGCTGCTGGAGGCCTAACAGACCGAGGCGACCACTTTTTGACCTGTCATCTACACAAGAGTCTTCATTGTATCGTTTGATGGTACGATAAACGAACCTTTTGGTTATATTCAAAATTTTCAGTATGTCAAAAATTTGAATTGGCGCGTAACCGCAACGATGCAACGCAATAAATGCAACACGGTCTCCTTTAAGCGTCCACTCCATATTTAAAAATGAGTAATATTCTAAAAAGTATACATTTTTATTTTCATGAACAATTCGAAATTTGAATTCAATAAACTTTTTTGTGGCCAGCATTCTAAAAGAAAAGTTTTTACTGTGTGCCTTATGACCTGACTGTGTATTTCTCTGAAGACTTAATTTTTATTTTATATACCTAGTGTGTATATTTAGGTTCCGTATACTTGTGTCTGAATTAATTGTAACAGACTGAACTTACCAAACGATATTATTACCCAAATATTCAAAACAAAATTTCCTGTTCACAGTCGCTCCGTTTCGAAACGAAGCTAAAAGTCCGCTCGAAATTTGAGCATTCCGCCCATATGGAGGCGATCGCAGACTACGTGCTAGAATGGCTAGGGGATAATGAACTTCTACTCCCGATGTACATGCACCCTGGACAGCTGACTCTCATGCAATGGGACCTCGGGACCCATCCCGCCTTTCGGAAGAGGAAGACCAGCTTAGTGAAAATAATGAAAAATACGTTTTAGTTTGACCTAATAAAGAACTTTTAGTAACGAGTATATTTTATTTCTCAAGAATGACTGTTCCAATTTAATTGTCTTCCAATTCATGGAAGCGATCACAGACTACATCCTGGAGTGGCTCGGGGACAACAAACTCTTACTTACGATGTACATGCGATGCTCATCCAATGGAATCTCGCAACCCATACCACCTCCATCCGGAAGAGGAAGAGATGACCGACTTCTTTAAAATGTTTTTAACTTGATTCAGTAAAGAGCATGTAGAAACGACCGTATTAAAAGACGATGTTAAAATTGGCCTAAGAACCAACATCGATTTGGCATTTATGATGATTCTTAGTATATTTTTTGCGATAATTATCAGTATTTAGATTGTCACGGACACTTCCAGTTAAGTAAGCTAAATTAAAAAGTTAAAAAATAATCCGATACAATAAATACCATTGTGTTTAATTTATGACAGCGCTGAAAACGAAACACTCTTTCTTCCTAATGCCGGCACTTCACTTAGCTATTTGTATTTAAAACATGACATCAGTCTGTCCTTTTCATTTCTAATTAAGCATGACAAGGACAAACTGTTGTCAAGTGAAGGGCTGGCATAAAACTCGATACTCTGTGGTTGTGGTGCAGGCAGTTTTCATTCGTAGTAATCTGTGGCATTCATGCATTCTCGTTTCGGATTACCTGTTGTGTGTGTTTATTTGCGATTGTTTTTCCTTTAATTTAACTATTTCGGCTATCTAATATGCCAGAGACCTTATTACCAAGTGCTAGTGAACCTGTGCCGTAACATTCTAAGAGGATCATACTGCCAAATTATTCAAGAGAATCTGATACACATTCACGCTGCATATTTACACAATATACATGTGATATGCAAATAAAAACAATATACAATATGATACAAGTATGTGAAAAATAGTCAATAAATGAGAAGCAAAGCTACAGTTTTTATTTCATTCATGATTCCTACCTAACCAAGTTTTTCCTAATAGTTATTCTTTAAAATCGCACCGATTAAAATGAATTAGTTGTAATATTAATTCACTTCATACTGAGTCCATACTAAGTTCATAGGTTGACCTATGTTTCATTGAATATTAAACATAACCTCAAAAAAAAAATAGTTTTCGTTATAATTAAATTCTCAGAAGTGTCCGTCAATAATCTTTGTTTTTACAGTCATTTACTTGCGATTTCGAACCTAGAAAATAATATTTCATGATTGTTGGTTCTTAGGCTAACTATGTATGGACGCAGAACAATGTCCTTTTCCAAGAATACTATTCCAACCCAATGCTAGGTTGTATAAAAAAAAAATAAGTTCTATTGTATCTGGGAGAGTGGGAGAAGTAGTTTATGTAATCCTTACTAAAACCGTATTTGAGCACGGACCAATGGTACGTCACATAAAGGGGGATAGAAGTTTGTATGAGAAACCTATGGAAAAACCAATAACCCACCCAGACAAAGACACGGGTACCCGCTAATAGATATTAAAAAAAACAGTGGATAGATAATGTTTTATTAATAATATAGTTTATTTGAAAGTGGCAATAAATATAGGCTGTTTTAAAAAAAAACTATTGACACGTGCATGATTATATGATTATGACGGGCATTGTCACAAAAGTCAAGTAGTCAAGTTTATACTGTTTTGATTTTCACTATTTATTTCATTGTATTTTTGATTGTGTCATTTATAAATTTAATTTATTATATTTCACTCTACCAATGGCTCAATCGAAAGCTTGCAAGCCACTAGTACTCAACGACCTATTGATCCAGAATGTTAACACTTGGGGCAACGTTCAGTACAATATACCTCTGAGATTGTCTAATAATGAAACTAGGAGTTCTACGAGCATCGCCCATCGGCAAATACCCGCCATTCCTCATAGCTTGGATTGTGTAAGTATCCAAAACTGAAAAATCAATTAATAATATTTTTTTATGTTATTAGAGTGGTAAATCATAATGCCCGCCTGGTGGTAAGCGGCCAACACAGCCTGAAGACGCTTTCGATAAAAAAAATATCACCCTTCCTTACCCCCTACCTCGTGTAGACCTGGAACTTTACTCACTAACAGAAACTTATTATCAGGAGTGAAAAGATAGTTTTCTGCGCTCTGTATAAAAGAAGTGCTCTACCTCGATTTCACAAAAATAAAAATGAACTACTGAAATATGTCCAAGCGGTTACACTTATAATCTTAAACTAGAAGGTAGTCCACTCGTTCTTTTAGTGTAGGTACTTACTTAATCAAAATACTTCTAGAAAATCGACGACCCACTCCCTGAGCGCGTATGCGGGCGAGACATGGTGACTGAGAAGGAAACGTACAGGACCACCAGCGGCGAGTACTGCGTCAAACCGAACCCAAATAAAGCCATGGAGCGGTCGGACTGCTCCATCAACTGTCGCCGCGTCATCTTCATGACTGGCGTCGAAAAACGGGTGAGATAAAAGTTTCCGTAAATCATTATCAGAAACCAGCGCCCTTCACCGCGAAGGGATCTTCATGCCATCGAGAGCTTAAGAACGTATGGAGCCTCCTCCAGCACCTGGGCTGCATGGCTGCACCACTGTGCTTTTGGACTCGCCCGACCCGTCACTCTTATAAAAAAAATTCATAACAAAGAAAACAAAACGATACCGCACCAAAACCGAGTCAGTCAGGAAGTGGTACTCGGTCGGAGCTAGTGAAGAAAAATCTGTACAGATTCGGTACAAAATGTAACGAGCCCGCCGGGTTAGACTGGGTTAGGTCTTAGTCGCGACTCAGTAAATGAAATGAAGGATGATGGAAGTGCGCGTGATGTCACTGAAATGAAACCTGCGCATAGTTGCGGACGCTGCTAACTTCACAACCGCCATCAAGTTTGGATTGAAAGTCTTTATTATTTATCGGGAGCTCGATGGCGCAAGTGGTTAGTGCGTTCTGCTGCGATCGTTGAAGTTAAGCAACTTTCGCAGTGATCGGTCATTGGATGGGTGACTAAAGTTTACTATCTCGAGCTCCTCCGTGCTACGGAAGGCACGTTAAGCCGTTGGTCCCGGTTGCATCTGCAGTCGTTAGCACCTACCAATCTGCACAATCTCCCTATTCCATCCATATGGAAGGCCTGTGCCCCAGCAGTGGGGAGTTGGAGATATTAATAGGCTGGTGATGTGATGTATTATTTATCAATAACCATAATCACCATCTACACCAACATTCCCTATGGATAGAAAGAATATCATATAATAGGAAGAATAAGCCGTTGCCCATTACGTGGTCCTAGTGAAGATAAGTGGCTTTTCGCGACTGCTTAACATGCCATTATGCCTTGCACGTTTAGCCGTCCCGGCTGCATTAGCACCCAGAAAACCCTGCCTGCGTGTCCTGCGTGTTGGTTTATGAAATTTCTTTTAGCGATGTAGCTTTAAGAATGGCTGATGATTTTCACTAAGTTTGGTTTAGTAATTAATAAGTCTTACTTAAAATGTTTTCATGTTGCAGTTGCAAGGTAAACAGATAGTTCAACCGATCATGATCTCCGAAATGAAGGACAACTTCCGTGGGGTGATAAACCAGCCTAATATGCCACCGGACATCACAGTAAAAGCTCCCGACCCCGAATATATCTTTGATGTAAGATTGTTACTCTTCCTATCAAAAATTTTGTCTACGCTGAAAAAACAGAATATTAAAATCTTGACACATACATTTAAAGCAGAGGGTGAACTTACACAAAACCGTCTTTTTTCAAGAGACATTTGGCCTGTTTGTGGCAACTTGATGGCCGTCTGGTCAACTTAGAATAATAATAATCGGTTTCAAATACAAATTTTTATCCTAACCCACCTACTTCTTGTTTCATTTATGAGACAAAAAGCACCTTAAAACCATCAAAATTATCCAAGTTAGGATTATTAAGGCTTAGATAGGTGCCACACATAACACACCACCCACTCACACAACGAGCGCTGTGTCGGCGTTGTGTCTGCGCTTTCGATATGCTTTTAAATACTGCGCCGTTTTGTTTTGTTTCCTCCCAGGCGGGGGAGCGGGTGAGAAATCCTTAAGGGTACCCTACAGCCGGCTGCAAGGTTATGTCAGACTCGTACTGACTAAAAAACACCCGTAGGGGCTGCCTCTGGCCGGGAAGGCCTCTAAGGCTTCATCGGAAGCGATCTTTCCCCAGGGGGGAGGGGGGGATAGATACTAGAGCATATGTGCGAAAAGGACGGTACGGCCTCCTAGTGAGGCATGCCCGTAGCGGACAGAAGAGCTGCAGAGGGCCGTTCGTGCTTAGGTAGGGCAGGCGATGACGGAAGGGCCTTGCTGTAAGGGACCTAACGGGGTGCGATCGCCGTTAATACTAACTAACGGGGAAGCTTGTTTGAGAGCTAACGCCTATGCGGATGCTGGCGCGCGCTGATCAACGCTAAGTTTGATCGGCGCGTTAGAGACTCGTGAGGCCCGCGCCGGTAGAGAATCGGTTCCGAAAATACTGCGCCATCCCGCTCCATTATTCGCAGTTCCCTACCCCACCTCGTCTTCCTCCTCTCGTTGTCCGTTGCGCGTGCGTTGCGTCGCTGTCCGTCGTTTCAACACATCGTGTGGCATGTCGTCAGATTTAATGTAGAACGATGGAGCGTTACCGCTCAGTACCTCTAGCAGGAACCATTATCGAATTCGAATAGTTTGCAAAGCGAAATGTCAATGTTAAATTTTGTATGGAAACTTGGACAGCAGCGACACAAAGTACGTAACGAGAACTAAAAATCAGTACACATTTGACAATGACATTTCGGACTCAAAAACGATACGAATTCGATATTGGTTCGTGCTAAGGGTACAGTTGACGCAGCGCTAAAGCAACGCACAAACAACGACCGTGCGGCATCTCCCTTAGGCTCTTGAGATAAATATAAAGCGCTACGGCCACCCAAACGGGTCGCAGTGAATACAAAATGTATGATTTTTTAAGAATCAAAACATTACACTCCTAGCTGCGCAATCATGGAACTCTATATTGTATTTAAAGCGGCATGTCCATGTGTCTTGCTTTCCAAGGCCAATAAAAGGAAAAGTTATAACATTGTAAGGTGGTGGCATCGGGCAGGAACGAAGCACCTGCTATATCTGACAGCGCGGGCGGGTACAGACGGCTACTGGACCCGTACGTGAGCACGTATCGAGCTAATCACCGTCCGTTTACTACTGAAGATCAGTACGGTATTGGAGCGAAGGACCACATCACTGTCTACTCGGAGTTCAATATACCTAAGGTAACATAATTCATAAATATAATTGTGATAATCAATTAAGTACACTCGCGCTCTCTGCGTTTTCTTCTGCCCCCACTCTATTCTTCTCTATATTCCTCTTGTATTTCCTTCTACTTACTTACTTTGCCGTCCTCAACACTTTCTCTTCAAATCAAACTAATATTCTCCTACCTCATGAAGCTTCATGCAGTGGTCTCCTTAGTAGTGGTGAGAACTCAACTATAACTCTACAAGTTCCCTTCCTTACAAGGGATTATATCACAAGTAACTAAGTTATTTTAACATCATCTTTGATGGACTTTATCCAGTTCTTTAAATGATGTGAATTGGGTTTTAAGTCCATATTATTAAGAATGAAAAAGAATGTCATCAGATCCATATTTTACATTTTAGGCGAAAGGATTCGGCCCTCGCCACAAGGAGATCTGGATGCCGCTAATGTCTAAAGTGCACAGAGGCGTCTATGACAGGATACACGTTAAAAAGGAATACAAGGAGGTGGCCGCATGCCACAACCCAGTTAACAATATTAAGGGGTAAGGCTTAAAGAATCAATTCAGGATCTCGGTAGCGCAAGTGGTCATCGCATTCGGTTTGCGATCATGGAAGTTAAGCAACTTTCTCATTAGCCGGTCATCAGTTGGGTGAACAAAAATTTACTATCTCAAGCTTCTCCGTGATCCGAGAGGCACACAAAGCCATTGGTGTCGGCTGCATCTGCAGTCATTAGCACCAACCAATGAGCACGCAGTCATTAGCACCAACCAATGAGCTCTGGCCCCGCGCGGTGGTTCATAGTCCAAAGTTCCTGTTCCATTGATAGAGAAAGCCTACATCAGCAGTAGGGCCATTATTTATTTATATAATCTTTTTTGCCTTTACCCTGCAAATGGCGGATTTAATGCCAATATGGCATTCTCTACCAGTCAACTGAAAAGAACATACAGACATTTCAATGTTCCCATGAATATTCATGAAAACATTTTCAATCTAGAGATGTAAACCTACGCACATACTATGTCTCAGAAGTTTAAATAAGTACTTCAGCCAAGCTTCAGTCGTTATTTTCATCACGTGGTTAAGGAATAAATGGACCAATATACTAGGTAGCTACTAGTAAAAGCGAAGGAACTTCTGCAATATTAGCTTCTAATCTCTATTATTATTATTCTTCTAGCGTGTTCCAATCAGAGATGAAGAAGAAATACAAGATCCCCTACGCGTCCTCTCATTTATCCTCCTGGGGTCACGGGGAGACGTTCGATCTGGCACCTTACCCCCCCAACCCTTACCAGACCAACATAGCACCGTTCATGTACTGCAGCGACTATTGTCACGTGGCTAGAGGCACTCCCCCGTATACGGTCATAGACCAGCACCGGCACGACTTGCCAGTACATAAAAAGTGTACGAAAAGATACGTCGTCTCAAGGGATTATGAACCTTAATATTATGTACTGAAATAAATTATTGTAAATGGAGTCAATACTCTTTGCTTACTGACCTAAAACTCTCGCACAGCAACAGAAGAATTGTCGTGCTAATTATAGTCAAGCCCATGAATATTTCTTCTGCAAAAGCTTATTCAGCCTTGAGAATAAAAGCTTGCAAATACTACACTCTACAAAAGCATGTCCATCATCTAATGTACAACACTGAACAAGCTTTGTTGATTGTAGTGTTTGTAAACCTTTGTTCACAGGACTGAACTCAACGGTCTCGGCGTTCGTTCTGCCACCTAACCCCCCCAAACTTACCAGACCAACATAGCACCGTTCATGTACTGCAGCGACTATTGGCACATGGCTTGATTGGCACTCCCCCGTATACGGTCATAGACCAGCACCGACACGACTTGCCAGTACATAAAAAGTGTACTAGAGATACGTATCCCGAGGGATTATGAACCTTAAAAAAATTGCTTGATGCAGGTAATCCAGTTTAGCAACAAAAGACTTGTCGAGCCTCAAAGGAAGGCCGTAACATTGCGTTGCGACGTCTCGCACCGCCAACCCGACGGGGCGGTACATCGCAATATGATGCGATGATGCATAGCAAAAATTTTCATTGCAATGACAGCGCATTGGATAATGCCGCGATGCGTTATACGTCATTACTTTTGGATTTTTACGATGCTACGCCGCAACGTAGTGTAGTGGGGCCTCGCCCTTAGCCAGCCCATGAATATTGATTCTGCAAAAGTATCAGATCTACGAGTCCAGCCTTTAGGATAATACAAATTTAAACGGCAGGCGCAGGTTACTTAAAACTAAGTCACTATATCTAGATGGCAAGAGACTGAAAGAACTATATAATAAAAGAAGAAATAAGAAGCTGAACTGTTCACTGTTATTTATTTAAAATACTTCCATTTCCCATACAATTTTGTGTGATAGTAGGTGTGATAAGATACGGTAAATATTCAGATATCTGTAAAAGAAAGAAAAACTACTTTTTCGGAAGAATAGCGGTGAGTGCAATCGGCTGGATAATGTGGTGGCCGCTTACAATCTGGCGAGCTTTTTGCTTGTTTGTCGACAAATTTCCATGAAAACATTAAGTTTTTAAGAAAGAAAAAGAGAAATAAGTTAACATGGGCTACCTTTCGAATTCCATGAATCACTTTTGGCCATACGTTAAGTTTTCTAAATATTGGGTCCCTAGGCATCAACCTCCTGGCTCTTTTGAACTCTGAAAAACGCACAAAATGCTTAATGCTGTGGCCATCCTAAGTTCGCCAATTTTAACCGGAATCTTTGACAAAACGTTTTGCTAAGGAAAAAAGAATATCCTCTTCTGTATCATGCAAGTTAAGATCTATGAAATCTCTCCTTAAATGTATATAACCACTTTTGTATATAAAATTTGTATATAAAAAAGTCGCTTAATTTTCCTGTCTGCTGCGAAACAAGCACAGATCTTCCCTATGGAAGGGAAAACGGGCCATGTCATGCCACAAGGCCCCAGAGCAGATTGTTAATGGCTGAAGATGCAGCCTGGACCAACAATCATTTTAACGTGTCTTCCGAAGCGCGGATGAGTTCGAGAAGTTTTGATCAACCACCATATGACCGCTTTATTTGCATGCAGTACTAAATTCGAATTCGAATAGTTTGCGAGTCCAAAATGTCATTGTCAAATTTTGTATGGAAACTTGAACAGCAGCGCCACAAAGGACGTAACGAGAACTAAAAATTAGTACACATTTGACAATGACATTTCGGACTCGCAAAATATTCGAATTCGATATCGGTTCGTGTTAAGGGTACAGTTCCTTCCTTGTTGCGATTTGCTTGTGTGTATAAGAAATCCGACAAAGAATCTGAACAGTATAATAATAATAATCTTTATTTAGACCAGCATATAAGTAACATTACGTCTTATAAAATAAAGACACCATATATGAGCTTAATAATATAAAAGACAATATTTAGCATCTGCTGCCGAACTAGGATTTTCATCCTGTATTTCAGCATACAGTGCCTCAATCCTCAGGTTTAGACAATTACTTGTATCTTATAAGCTAGTGAAGTAAGTTTCTTGTAATACTGATATTACAAGAAATACTTATTTTGATTTAATAAAACTGTTAAAATAAAAATTGTGAAAGTGAATGACCTCTCTGTGTATAACGTGCGAGTAAATGGCTGTATGTGAGAGGATGTGTAAAAGTATGCATGAAAACGGTCCAATGGATTCTTAACGATGACAAAAACTTTATTGTTATAATTTTTATTAATTTTAAAGCATGTAACTGCTTGATGTTTAAATCTAAAGAAAATATAACTAGAAAAAATTCCACGCGGACCAGGCAGCAGACGGGACTCGTACCCGCACCCTTCGCAGTCCGGGCGAATGCACTGACCAATTATGCTACTGCGGCCCTCATGGAACGCATCGAAATTCTTCTAGCCATTCTTAAGCTGCAAGGCAGCGCCATCTCTTCGCATTATACGTAACCCACAATGCTGTCTGGTCCGCGTGGAATTTTTTCTAGTTATATTTTCTTTAAAAAAATTATACTTAAAAATATAATATAATATAAAACGTTACATTTTAATTGTACTAAAATTAAAAAAAGGGTTCTTACTTGTGGTTTCGCGACGAAGCAGCTCGCGCAATTTGGAAGCGCACACTCGCATTCTATTTTCTTGTGATTTGACTTCTAGAAAAATTTGTAAACGGAATAAGCAAGTAAATCACCACCTAGGGGAAGTTATTTTAAAGAACATTTAGGCAAAACGCTTAGGTACTCTATAATTAAATTTGTATTAGCTTTGTCTTGAATCCAGGTCAATGTTTGGCTATCTTCAGTAATTAATTAACTGAATAAATTGTAAAATCTTACGTGTTTCTTTGTCTTCTTATTTGCATCGATGAAAACCAAGTTCACTTTCTTGTTTGGATCCTTTAAAAGAAATTAATCGTTTTAATAAATTTCATATTAAGATCCTTCTCACATTCTCAGTATATGTATAACTTAGGCACGCAATAAAGATAAATCCATAGGTAAATCTATCTATTTATGGCTCGTTAAGTACCGTTTTCCATCAAACGGAACATACGTATATTTACCAAAAAAATCAGTCAAATGTTAGAAGTGAAGAAGCATGGAATGGAAGTGTTTTTAACTTACATTTTCAGAATTAAGGTGCTTTGAATTCTCCATTATTTAGTAGCTCCATATCTCTTTTCCAAAGCTTCCTTGGTTTTTGGACTTTTCTATATAACATTGAAAGTATAAAATTATTTTACAGTAAGTATCCTAGATGATGATGATGATGGATTTATTGATGATTTCATATTAGACATTTTTATGAGAACATCAATTACGCTATTCGATTTGGAAATTATTAAGAATTTAAAAAGTTCAATTACTTTGCTTCCACTGATTAAATCTGCTGTTGTGAGTAAAGAAATGTAAATGGACTAAAAATAATACAATTTAGTATTGATCGTATTAAATAAATAACCAAAAGGCATTTTGTGTGTGAAACTGAATTTGGAAATACCCGATTTCAATAACGATCGGTCGCATACAGTATCCATGTACATAGTCGCAACATCGCACTCTCTAAAATTTTTAACAGTTTCTTTTAACCAAAAGTTGGATGGGATAAATTTCTACCAAAGCAAAATGGTCGATATAATTAAGTAAAGTATTCTAAAATCGTTATATCGATTGTTAAAGTAGGAGTATTTATTAAAAATACCGCTTACCCCGAGACATGAGAAGTTCTGACACTTAGATTGAGTTTCGTCGCATCTCTGAAACAATAAAATAAAACATGGAGTTGAATACACTGAATCTGTTTAAGTAGAAAGTGTACAAGCTTCTTATGGTATTAAGTAGCTAATAGTAGGGAGCCGAAGCTCCTACTTGCGCCTTCTATGTAAAGCCTTACATCTAGGGCAGCAAACAGATTTTATCAACAAACGGCCATGACTTTTGGTCGCGTCGAAAACTACTGGTGGATTCCCCCTTTATGTTATTCTGCCGCACTGGAGTAAATCCAAAAATCTCCGCTTGAACTCACCTACCATAATGTCAACATCGACCAAGTTTCTAACTTGGGACTTGATCGAGGGTCGAGGGTTAACCCATAATAAAAAAAAATGGGTGCGTGTACTTATGTAGGCGCGTGAGAAGTTATCCTTCTTTGGCATCGTTTAAAATTAGTTTTTAATTGCATGCAAATAATTAATTACAATAAATTAATAAAAAGTCTGGAAAAGGACACAGTCAATAAAGTTCAGTTTTAATTTGAAAAAATAAATAAATAATCAAAATATTCAATTAAAATCGCTACTGAATATAATTTATTACAACATATGTGATTTGCACTTGTATGAAACTCAAACACGTATTCCGAATATACAAACTAGAAACATGTGGATAAATATTATAAATATGAATACCTATAACTGTTACTTTATTACAAAAAATGAAGATGTGGTTTTTGGTTCTACTACACCAATGGTCAAGAGATGGCGCTGTAGTCGCCTGAATCGCGCTTTGGTTCCGTTGTTCCAGATTAATAAATACTTTTGATATTATAAATATGAATACCTATAACTGTTACTTTATTACAAAAAATAAAGATGTGGTTTTTGGTTCTACTACACCAATGGTCAAGAGATGGCGCTGTAGTCTCCTGAATCGCGCTTTGGTTCCGTTGTTCCAGATTAATAAATACTTTTGATAGGCCTTCACAATGCAGTCGTTAGCACCCACTAAATAGAGATTCTATTTCTATTTTGTTGGTAGATTTTCTTAATGTGTGGTAAACACAAAAGTAACAGCATGAAGTTGGTCGCTAAAGCGACCAACTTCATGCTGTTAAAATTTTGTGTTACAGTGATGCGCGCGCATCTTAAAATTTCACTCTCATCATTTTTTCATAACGCTCCTAAAGAAGTATAACTTCAAAAAAACGTTCAAAGACTACTTGTAACTCGTGTTTGCTCAAACTTTTTGTATCTGAAGTATCGTCTTTAGTATAAAACATCTTCAAATTATAGCATCGTATCTTATATGACGCGTAATCTAATGGATTCATACCGTAGCCAATTGAATTTATAATAACTAGTGTCAATGAACTATGGCACTTCAGAAACTCTTTACTTCGACCGATGTTGCTTACTTAATTTCCATTCGTATTCAGTCAGATTGTCGAGTATATAGTACAACCGACAATCTGACTGAATACGTGTATATATGTTTTTAGATATGACCATATGGTGTCAGCACATATCTAAATAAGTTCCTACCTACTTATTTTTTAATATGTATTGTAAAGGCCCAAAGAACACCTTTATCTGAAGTCTTTTCAAGTTAGAAAAGTTGCCAATAGATTTCACAATGTTTTACTAAAAGTTGAGTGACTCATGTTTCGAACGAAATATGCCTTCTCAATTAGATTCTCAAACCTGTAGGTTTGAGCAATGAAAATTTAGGTACAAATAATTTTACTCGTCTCATACAAATGATGTCTTACTTTCATTAGATAATATATAGGTATTAGGAATATCTGATCATGAAGAATAATAAAATTAAAAAGATAGAGTGTAGTTTGAGTAAAGAAGAACTTACAGGAGGACAGATGTCATTGGCCATCTTGGGTGGTCTACGTTTTCTCGGGGCTATGCACGGTGGGTTGTGGAAGCATCGGGCGGGCACACTGCAAGGCGCGCTAGGGCGGGCGGGCCAGAAGCACGGCATGAGGTAAGGGAAGCCGGCAGAGGGCGGGACACAGCGGGGAATGTGATGACAAGACCTGGCTGCGAACGGCTGAGGAAATAATATTTTTTAAGCTATTGCATAGATTTTATCGCGGGCTTTGAGCGTGGCGACCGAATCAAGAAATTCCGTAAAGAAAATAACCTGACAAGAGCGCATATGAACACAATTTTCGTCTTCCCAGTATCGATCGAAACGGCGCAGTGTTAAATTTTTGCCACGGGACCAACGTTCGACGCATCACCGCGGTCGTCGCGTCGATTCAAATCCCGCACTCGTATTTTTTTTTATATTTTTTTTCCTTTTTTTAAATATTTGTTTTAGACTCCAGCACCTGTTCTTATTTTTATTTGTGTCCCTTTTATTTAGACTTTATAATTATAATTTAAAATTTTGGACTAAAGATGGTAGACTGTGGAGCTTGTGGAAGTTTTTTGGCGCCGGCCAATGCTGTTGTTTGCTGTGCTTGCCCAATAATATATCAACCTAAAATCAAAGAAAAAAAATACTGCATAAATAAAATTGATAAATAATTATAATTGCATAAGTTAATAAATAATGCTATGCAATAGCTTTACCGCGCGGTATTTTTTTTATGTTAAAGGGGTGGCATACAAGTATATGGCCCGCCAGCTGGTAAGCGGCTACCATAACCTATAGACCCTTGCGATACAAATGTATTACTCGCGCCATTGCCTACCCTGACCCAATCCCCTACCCCGTGGAGCCCTGGAACTTTTCTCACCAACAGAATCACAACACCACCAAAAGGTAGTGTTATTGTACTGTGGTCTTTTGTAAGGTCGAGGTTACTTCAATTCTTGGGAGTTCCTTCTTCTCTTAAATCATGATCATCATCACAGTCAGTAGGACGGGCTAGGCTGGCTGTTGAATGATCGCTTGGTAAAGGCGCATAGGCAATCATAACGTAATATTTAGGCGTGACTGATGCATTTTGTACAGCATCGATGGTAGACGAAACAAAAGACATTTCTGGATAGAAGCCAGTGGATAAAGATCAAAAGAATTGTTTTTCCTACCCCCCCCCCCCCCCCCCCTTTACTAATATAGTTAAAAAAATAGACCGTCACATAATGGAATTTTATTGGAATATTACCTTTTGCAGGACGCTGCTGGAGCGAGGTGTGAGCTCTACCTAGAAAGATATTTGCTATTTAGATTTTATTTGCGGATCAGCAGTGCGTAAAATTTTTACACGCGGAGCATCTCGCATAATATGTATTTAATAGTATGGCATTTAATTAAGTTGTAGGTAGGTAACAAATACAATAGAATTATAAAATCACGTCTAGGTCGCACAGCCAGTGCTTCGTAATTCTGTCGGGTCGCCAATCTCGCAAAGGATTACGAAATTCTAATCAAACTATCTAATTGTCTAAGCAATTATTAGAAAAAGATGATATAAGAAAACCCTAAAGATTATAAAACCCTTGTTCTTTAGATTTAGACATCAAGCAGTTACATGCTTTAAAAATAATAAAAATTATAACTATAATTGCTATTTCTTCTTTCAAATGTTTAATACTTGTAAAAGTATTCATTTGACATTGTGGGTTTACCTATAATGCGAAGAGATGGCGCTGCCTTGCAGCTTAAGAATAGCTAGAAGGAATTTCGACGCGGTCCGTGAGGGCCGCGGTAGCATAATTGGTCAGTGCATTCGCCCGGATTGCGAAGGGTGCGGGTTCGAGTCCCGTCTGCTGCCTGGTCCGCGTGGAATTTTTTCTAGTTATATTTTCTTTAGATTTAGACATCATGCAGTTACATGCTTTAAAAATAATAAAAATTATAACTATAATTGCTATTTCTTCTTTCAAATGTTTAATACTTGTAAAAGTATTCATTTGACATTGTGGGTTTACCTATAATGCGAAGAGATGGCGCTGCCTTGCAGCTTAAGAATAGCTAGAAGGAATTTCGACGCGGTCCGTGAGGGCCGCGGTAGCATAATTGGTCAGTGCATTCGCCCGGATTGCGAAGGGTGCGGGTTCGAGTCCCGTCTGCTGCCTGGTCCGCGTGGAATTTTTTCTAGTTATATTTTCTTTAGATTTAGACATCAAGCAGTTACATGCTTTAAAAATAATAAAAATTATAACTATAATTGCTATTTCTTCTTTCAAATGTTTAATACTTGTAAAAGTATTCATTTGACATTGTGGGTTTACCTATAATGCGAAGAGATGGCGCTGCCTTGCAGCTTAAGAATAGCTAGAAGGAATTTCGACGCGGTCCGTGAGGGCCGCGGTAGCATAATTGGTCAGTGCATTCGCCCGGATTGCGAAGGGTGCGGGTTCGAGTCCCGTCTGCTGCCTGGTCCGCGTGGAATTTTTTCTAGTTATATTTTCTTTAGATTTAGACATCAAGCAGTTACATGCTTTAAAAATAATAAAAATTATAACTATAATTGCTATTTCTTCTTTCAAATGTTTAATACTTGTAAAAGTATTCATTTGACATTGTGGGTTTACCTATAATGCGAAGAGATGGCGCTGCCTTGCAGCTTAAGAATAGCTAGAAGGAATTTCGACGCGGTCCGTGAGGGCCGCGGTAGCATAATTGGTCAGTGCATTCGCCCGGATTGCGAAGGGTGCGGGTTCGAGTCCCGTCTGCTGCCTGGTCCGCGTGGAATTTTTTCTAGTTATATTTTCTTTAGATTTAGACATCAAGCAGTTACATGCTTTAAAAATAATAAAAATTATAACCCTAAAGAAGATGATAAACTTACACGATTATTTTAGAAAACTAGTTTCTTACAAATTATTAGGAAAAGTTGTAAGAAAACCCTTAAGAAGATGATAAACTTACACGATTATTTTAGAAAACTAGTTTCTTACAAATTATTAGGAAAAGATGATATAAGAAATCCCTAAAGAAGATGATAAACTTACACGATTAGTTTAGAAAACTAGTTTACTTACCGGTGAAGGCTCGTATTTTGGTTTGCGACGAACAGCTACCTGTGTAAACAGATATAATAAATATTCCATTCCACCATCATTAATTTCATTCCCTTTATCTGGTGGAAAACGTGTTTACCTTCATTCCATAATAGGTAGAGCAATCTATGACACATTTCCTTGGAGTACACGCCTGTAATAAATATAGTTATTTGTATTTAAAATAGTGAATTTTAAAATAGTTCTTTTTAATATACTCTATTCGTGCGTACTACAACAATAATATTTCAATATTACGTGTTCAACAATAATATTTTTTTATTCTATTCGCTAACAATTTGTTCAGACTTTTTTAAAATACAGTTTAGAAATGAAACTTCTTTACGCACGCTTGACTTGGAGGGTAAGCTGGCGAATGCGTTAAAAGTGGGTTCGGGCGAGTCGAACGGGAGTTGAGTGGGGGATATAAGCAAGAGAAAGCAGTGCGCGCGCACATTTTCTTTCTCTCTTTCTCTTATAGCTAGTAAACGAAATATGTATATGTACATACATGTATCGTCGTGTCGTGTGGTCATAAGCACACTCGTTACTTTTTCATATTTATGTACCTATATTCTCTTCTCCATAAGTAAAGTGAGTAAGCATTAAGTACTCGTAAGTACTTAAAATGGTAAATGTTATCATTATCAGCCTATTAATGTCCCCACTGCTGGGGCACAGGCCTTCCCTATGGATGGAATAGGGAGATTGGGTTATGACCCACCATGCGGGCCCAGTGCGGATTGGCGGGTACTAACGACTGCAGATGCAGCCGGGACCAATGGCTTAACGTACCTTCCAAAGCACGGAGGAACTCGAGATAGATGTTTTTAGTCACCCATCCAATGACCGACCACTGCGAAAGTTGCTTAACTTCAACCATCGTAGCCGAACGCGCTAACCACCTGCGCCATCGAGCTCCTCGTAAATGTTATAAAGAAAGTCAGTTAATTGCGATTTACCTTGCAACAACATTCTCGATCTGGTGCTATGCATTGTGATGGGCACTGAAAGACATTTTTAAAGCAGATTAAAGAGATAATAATTTTAATGTTCTACTCATAACTTTTTTAATATTTAATATGAAGTTGTTCAATAATAAGCTATAGATATTTGCCATTGTTGGTGGTTATGATATTAGGGACTGAGGTGTGGTCTTTCATTGCTGGATGTTTAAATCTAAAGAAAATTTTACTTGACAAATTCCATTTCCGAGCGCATAGTGGATGATGCGGGTTCGAATCCCGTCTGAAACCAGTGAGGCTGTTCTGTAAAATTTTTCACGCGCGGATCCGCTCGATTCCCATATAGATTCGCGCGGAACCGCGGACGTTGGGCCGAGTGGCATATATATTTTCTTGTAAAATTTTATTCAGATTTAAAGATAAGGTTTACTCAAATCGCATAGATGAAGAGTGAGAACATCCGTATGAGAACCAAAGACACCGACATAGGTAGCTCTTGGTTTCAGCTTGCTGATATGGCTATCAAGTTATATTGCTTGCAGGATAGATGACTGCTGGGGAAAGGGGTTCTCAAGGCACCAAACAAACCAGAAGATGTAGCCTAGAGGACGGACGTGGTAGATAAGTTGCAGAAAGTTGTTGGAAGCAAATGGTCCAAAGCCGCTGTTATAGAAAGCGGCAAACTTTTTGACCAAAACCACTGATACCTGAATAATCTTGCGCAGTAGACGCCTTTTTCATGTAAAATTGCTAATGCGCAGGATTCCATGTCTATGGTCGATGCTTAAGAAGTTTTCCAGGGTGTTTAGTAGATAGCATTTGTTCAGGGAGACCCATTTGAGGCCCATAAACAGGAGTAGACTTCTTAAGGCTAGTGATGATGATTTCATAATATTTTGTGAGCCGAGAGAGAAACCGCACGTGTTTTCTTTATAAGAGGTACTTACCACTTTTTGGCATGAAGGAGCGATAGTCTGAAAACAAAGCATCGTTAAGATACAAAATATTCTAATAGAGATAAATTAAAAGAAAATTTAACTAGAAAAAAATAGATACTGGCACTTTTATGAATTTACGTAGATAAAAAGAACATGGACTAATAATAATAATAAATCCGTGTTCATTTCATTAATTTATTAAGAATCTATAGATATCTGAACTCCGAATATATGTAGAAAATATTATATGTTCTCCACTTAAAGACAAAAACATATAAAACGTTAGATAAGAATATTAACATAGACAGTACCTTTTCAACGTTATCTTCAAAAGTTATTAAAATTTAAATGATTTATTTCAACAAGATTTTAAACAATAAGAGACTAACACAGGGTTGAAAACAGGCTCCGTAGCAGATTGGAGCAATGCAACAGCTGCGGCAGCCACCACACTAATTTGACAAAATAAAACGAGAATTAGGAAATAAACAAAAAAATAAAATAGATTTCCAACCTGTATCGGAGCGCTTCTCTGGGGAAGCAACCATTACTTAACTACAGAAGATCAGACAGAAGATCATGGAAAAGATATTGGAATACATTTTCTGTGATGGAAAACATAGTATGAACATTGGTGGTACGGTGTTTCTGTTGGTGAGTAAGGTTGCAACGGCTCCACGAGGTAGAGGATTGTGGCAAGATGAGAATGGCTCGAATGAAATTTATACTGAATCAGCTATTTTCGAAAATGCTCTTAATTTTTTTCAGGCAAAATGAGGCTACGTTTCATACAGAAAACAGATTACAAGAAAACGAACATTAAACCATAGCATTTTCCTCTAATAAGTATTACAATGAAAGGAAAATGTTTTGATTTGTTTGAATTTTAATGTATTTTATTATCGATTGTAAAAAATATATATAATTTTATTTTTTACCTTGAGAGAAGACGGCAGGTCCGTTTTGCTCTGAAAAAAAAATCGCAAAAAACGCATGTAAATTTAAATGTCTTTATTTACTTATATGTACGTAAATAGTAAGATACTAATAGAATTTAGAATGGATGGTGAATTACGATTTACCATGTCTTCCTAAATTCTGTGAATGTACAGTATTTTTAACGAGAAATAATTTAATTTGTCCTATGTACCGGCCTGTGGTATTTCAACCAGCACCTTTTGCTGTCAGGAAAAAATGCCCTGAAATCTTGAAACAAAAATTGAGGAAATCGCGCTGCAATTTAGAAATACTAGAGTAGTTAAAATTCCACGTGCCCATTACGGTTCCGGTATATATATTTAAGTACCTAGTGAAAATTCCCAAATCAATACATTAAATATCTCCGAATAAATTCTACAGTCATATCATAACGACCTCCGTGGCCGAGTGGTTTATATGCCGGGTTTCATGGTGTTGCCGACTCGAGAGGTCCCGGGATCGAATCCCGGTGAGGGCAGATGTTTGTGATGAATACGATCATTTGTACTCTAGTCATGGATTTTTAATATGTATTTCTATGTAAATATACTTATATATGTACAATATATGTATTCTATCCGTTACCCTGGTATACCATAACATAAGCCTTACACTTACTGCTTGCTAATATTACTTTGGGGCTAAGCTAATTGGTGTGAGTGTTGGAAATATTTATTTATTTATAACCCAAGATACCCTAACAGATGTTCAGTGATGATTGTAGTGCACGAATAAACCTTTTTGGTTTTTATTTGCATTATATGTATGTATTAAAATAATTGTAATAGGACTCAGGGCCGGATTAAGAGCTCCAGAGGCCTCGGGGTAACAGAGGAGCGGAAGCCCCCTCACCCCAAATTATTTTCCAAATAAAGTAAACATTTTTTTTTCAGTCGAGTTTTTCAATAAATAATTTATTGTGAACCAAGTAATTCCCTTAGTATTGAACAAACACATAAATATAAACGGAAACAAGAATTATGTGAAATGAAATCTTAGAGTTAACGAACGGAACCTTTCGAGCTTTTTTCGCCGAAAAATCGTTGATGATTTCGTTGAAATCGAGTTCTCGGAGTAAAGGTAAAAGAGCAAAAAAAATATCAAAGGAAAAGATGTTTACTAGTTGGAATTTGAAAGATTTTATTTTCCGAAGTCTCTATTGTGGGGGCCCCCAGTTTGTGGAGGCCCCGGGACTGTCGCCCCGGTTGCCCTCCCCTAAATCCGGCAGTGATAGTACTTGATTAAATATATTAATAAATAAAAAAACTTGATCGAGTTACGTACCATATTTCTGCAGCATCCTTTGCCACAGCAGATTTGAACTATCGCTGTTTGAGGGAACACAGGCTTATCGTCATCTTTGCGAATTTTGCGCGATGGTTGCGATCCAACGATGGCTATTTTCGACAATCCGAACATGTTGTGCTCTCTATCGAGGCGTAGGATGGTGGATAGGTACTTGTCGTTCACGCTGATACACTGGTCTAGTTGGTCTTCAGATTCTATGCTGCAAATGCTCGTGGACGACATATTTGGAGACAGGGAAGGAGAGCTGAAAGGTGGACATTTTTAAAAGTTTGTTACTTATCGAGATTTCTATTCTTTTTTCATTAACTACCAAAATACAAATACAAGTGATTGAAAATAAATAATTTAATATATGCCATTTGTAGTAAATCTAATGACTCAAATTACCTTTAAATAAATCTTCAAGAATTGACGGTACACTTTCTCTTTTTCCTTACTTTGGCACCTGTCAAGGCGTTAACTTCTCTACAACGACATCATTCACTATCAATTCTAGTTTACATAAAACTTTTGACTAATCATACGGATTCTCACCTGGAATCAGGAGAAACGCATTGTTCTTCGCTCAACCACTTCATTTTTGTCAATTTGAGAATGTTAGGATTGCCATTAAGTTCGTCGGTATCTTCTGTTTCATATTGTTCATTTTCATCATCCTGTGATGTTGTTGTCTGAGAAATAATATTCTTTGAATTTCAATACAATTTGTTACTCTATTAAAGAAAGCTTAAACGATTAAAAATGGTATAGTTTCAGTGAAAGTTTATTAGTATACAAATTTCTTCTCTTTTATTGAAATACTTACGGTTTTTGGATCGTTTTCATTAAAATCATTGTCTTTCGCATGATTGTCTTTATTTTCAACTAATTCGTGAACTGCTTTAGACCGTTCTACTTGAATAGGTGTTTCTTCTTGATCGATCTGAAATTCGATTTATGTTATAATCGTGTAACGTTGTTGTTAATGTAAACTACAATTCTAAATCAAAGTCAGCTGCTTTAAATTTTTTTTATTTCTTAATGTTTTATAGTTCTTTTTAATGAACTCCTCTTTTTTTAAATAGCTATTTTTTATTAACTTCAAAAGAAACTTGAGTCCGTAATATTGATTTGAATTATTTCTTATCACTGATTAAATCTAAAGTTACTTGAAATTCTTTAATTGTAAAGATATGATGTTCAAGAATTCACCTCTTCGATGTCTCCATCTATATATCCATAGGATCCAGGCTGGCAGTTGGAGATGCTGTTTGGTATCACATCATTAACCAAGCAGACGTACGTGAAGTAAACGTTCTGTTCAGAGGCACTACTTGCCAACTTGAAGCTAGTGTTTGGCGTGTACATCATGATGGTTTAACTTTATTAGAATCATACTCTCATAAATTCATCAGGGTGGCGTTTTATCTTTAGCAGCATACTTGACGGCTTCATTATAAGTAATTTTGATCTTGCTTTTAAGGGTATAACTGAAATTTATTAGTCCATTTATTTAGTCTTGATTTGAAATCTGCTGGATGGAGATGACAAAAATGACGTCTGTTTGAAATGATGTATTTTTCTTCTTCACTTGTTTGTTGACAGCGACTGTTTGGTGAGGTTTTGCATCTCGTATTTTTCATTCTCTCTGATATTGCGACTAAATTCTTCAACCTTCAATATGAATTAAATCTCCAATATAAGTTTTCTGGCCTTTGTCTAATCAGAATATGAAATCTTGAAATCTATATTGTTCGAAGTAGCTTTTTACTTGCCTCTTACATATATATATCTCCATTGTTTTTGATATGGATGAAAATATGTAAATAATAAAGAAAAACTATGATGAAATGTAGGCAATGATTGATCATTCCTACCCATAGAAGTTATATACTTGCTTCCTTATTTCTACCATAATTTGTTGGATACAGAAGTTATTATGTATAATAAGGTAAGCAAAACTGTGAAATCTGTGACCTGCGTTTAGTTAAAAAGGAAGTATACAATGTTCTAAATTAATTAAATGAGGTAAAGGACCAAAAGTTATTGAATTCCAAAACATAAACCATAGTTGAAACTACGACAATGAGTTGTCGAAATTTCATGACAATAATTTTAAGCCATTACCCCAATTCTCAGTTTAGGAAGTAATATTTTATGGCAAAACAATAGGTGTCATGGTGTGAGAGTCGATTCACCGGTCTGTGGATACGGATGTTGTTATTTATTAGCACGTTTAGAAATTTGGAATTATAATTTAGAATATGAAATATATTCTAGCTTTCTTTTTTCACAAAAAATTAATCAGCTAATTACTAGCTTACCGTTTTTGTTAGTTTTCGATAAAATGAATCAAGTTAGTGGACGAAACATTAAAATCCCATAATGATTTTCTTTAAAACAGAATACATCATGAAGACAATATGACCTCTTATCGTCCTCAACATAGGAGGAATACTTTTCTGTTTAATAAAAATTAACACACTAAATCATCAAATTCAGATTTGTTGATGTGTTTTTGTCGATACCTTACCTATCTAGCTATTGGTAGAATTACATCTAACATTTCACAAAATATTACACCATTTTTTTTACAATCTGAGAATCATAATTAATAGAAGCAAAAAAAGACTTGAAACTTATAAACTACAGATTAATAATAACTAATTCTGTTGTTTATAAGTTTCATAGCTTTTTGTGTGTTATCATTATCAGTTATACAGTCCTCTTTAACTGTGGTGGTTGTATTTGTATGTTCGATTTCACAATCGAAATACTATGTAAGAGAACTACAAATTAATTTGTGCGTCATGTTGTTACGTAACAAACGGATCAATGACAGATGTAATATTTCCCACGCTTCCGCAAACGGACCATGGGTTTGTGTACTCTATATTTTTGTTACTTTGTTTGTTTTGTCCCAAACACTGATCATCAATCACAACAAAATGTAACTTACAATTTGTACGTGACATTATGATTCCAATTATTTTAAATTTAAATTGTTAAGTAGTTAGAAGTGGTACCTACGTAAATACCAAAACAAATTTGTCCCTAACTATGTATGTCTGTGTTAGTATAATTAATTTTAAAATTCTATTTAAGCCCACAGCCCACACTGATTTGTATCATATCATATTATACCTGCGGTGATTCACCGTACCAGATGTTGTAAACCAATTCGAGCAGTTTATTTTATAAGTGTTCATCTGAGAGCAAAGTTAGGTACATCTGAACAACATTTTTAGGAGATAATTTTTTTTATATAATAAGCCATTAGCATATTAAAATAAAATTATTTTATGTTTATTGCATTTGATTACTCATTCACAGAAAATCTTTCCTTTTTTAAGTGACAAGATTTTATGGATTTTTATGATTGCTAATTAAATGGGTTTTCTTATTTTTCTAAGTATGAAGTTATCTTATATTTTGATTGAATATTCCGAAAACTTTGCGTAGAAACCTGTTACTCTTCTTATCTGTGTTAATATTAAGGGGAATTTTAATGAATTGAAGTATATATTATATTCAGTCTTATTTTCACACTTAATCGTACTCATCTTTTTTTTCTCGTTTTATTTTTAGTTTCATTTAGTATACTAAAGTATCTAAATCTTATAAGTATTTTATGTTATTTACAATACTCTTTGAAATCTTTTCACACTATATTAGAAAAAAGTTATAAACAACATTATTTATTTATATGTATATTATTGTTAGCAAAATGTATAATGCTGATCAAATATAAAAACGCTAGGATTTAATATATAAAATCTCCTATTGTTGGGGCTTTTAGTTTCATCCTATTTTTTGTCTAACCTTATTTTTACTGTCATATTGTAAAGTTTGTAAATCTGATGAAAAAGAAGCTGGCGAACAAAACGGTATAATTACGCATCTTGTCAAACTACTTTCTTTTTACAGTCCGGAGGTTTCGGGCCCGTTGAATTTGAATTTCAAATAATTTTCAATCAAAACCACCTAATACAGTGTTAAAATTACTAAATGTATAAATTAAAATCCATACCAAAACCTCGCTGTAGGTATGTCATTCAGTTTTATACAGCTCCTCAATTTTTTATACTTGTGTGAAAATTTATTTATGTATTCAAAATACATTACACCATTATAACAGGTATATACCTTCAATAGTGTAGTCGTCCTTTCAAGGTAACAATAAATTCTTATAAAATTACATTAATTATTAAAAATATTATATCAATGTTGTAAACTATATAAAAATGTCAATAAAAATTAATAAAAGAAAAAACAATGTCAATGTAAGCAAATGTTAATTAAAAATCTAGAAATAAATAAAATGTTGGTCGCATCTGTAGTACAGCGATCGAAACGCGAGCCATGTACCGTATCATTTTCGTTGTTGACCCGCAGCGCGGACGCAACATCCAGCGAGCCGACAATCAGACTTTTTTTAATTAAAACCTCCGCCGAGCTTTTTACACCACTCGTAAAATGCCAATGTGAAGTGTGCTTTAAGGGAACGCTATAAAGTCGCAAATATGACTCACGTGCTAGTGTTAGTGATCCTATTGTGTGCGAAATGGACTGTTAACGCACAGTTTGGGAGTAAGTGAACCTTTTTATTAGATTTGATTTTTGAATTTGGCTTTGAAAAGTTATGTGTATTACTTGAAAATGTCTAAAATAGAGATTGATTTTACGTTTATAATATGAAGTTAGCGAAGCTTAGGTCCATAAATTAAACACACAGATAGAATTTAGTGGTTTTGTCTACGCACTAATTGTTTTGTTCATGTTTAGTTATTTTAAAATGAGTTTAACAGATTATTAAGGATCTAAATGATGTATTATAAAGTTATTCTAAATTAGTATTTGTATTTAGTATTGAGGAGCTCGATGGCGCAAGTGGTTAGCGCGTTCGGCTACGATCGTTGAAGTTAAGCAACTTTCGCAGTGGTCGGTCATTGGATGGGTGACCAAAAATTTACTATCTCGAGCTCCTCCGTGCTTCGGAAGACACGTTAAGCCGTTGGTCCCGGCTGCATCTGCAGTCGTTAGCACCCAACAATACGCATTGGGCCTGCGTGGTGGGTCATGGCCCAATCTCCCTATTCCATCAATAGGGAAGGCCTGTGCCCCAGCAGTGGGGACATTAATAGGCTGATGATGATGATTTGTATTTATTACATTACTCTAAATTTTTATTTTGGGTATACTGTAAAACTATTCATATTGAAATTGGATCAAAGATTAAGTAACTGAAGAAACGAAGTACTTAAAGATATCATTGCAGCTCCCACGTTATCTTAAGTGGTTCTTGGTGATGCTTCCTTTGTCCTTCTTTAAAACTTTTAAACTGTACTAAAACATTTAGAATGCCTTAATGTTTAACCTAATTAAGCTTTTCTTTTAAACATTTATTGAAATAACCTTTAATGGTATATGTTTCACGCAATAACCTCTCCTGTCCTACATTAATTGTACTAGTAGCGATATGATCCTAAATAAATGTTGATAACTTTGTTAAATGTTTATGAGTTTTTTGCGCCCATTCTTCTTAAGAGCCAAAAGAGTTTTCAGTCAGTGAATTTTAATAAAGTCTCTATTATTTCATTTCAAGCATTCCTATCTACATCACAACGTGAAACTTTATTATATAAGTCTGTAATTGCTTAAACGTAATTTAAGTACATTTGTGTAGCCGGACAGTGATGGATGCATCACGTTCCAATAAATGAGCGACATAATTCGCTGGCAGCCTCGATTATGGTACATATTAGCCATGTCCTGCACTGCTACCAAGGTCGATTGCTATCGTCCATTTAAAACCTAAATAATAAAGTTGATGATACATGTACAGTATGTGCGCAATACTCATAATTATGGGAAATTAGTAAGAAAACAATTGAAAAAGCGAATTTTGCTATCTTTAAACAGTCAAATAGACAAAGATTTCCTATGGGATAACTTTCAGTTTCAAAATCATTTTTGGTTGATCGTACAGGCTATAGGTATTGCAAAAAGTTTAATTTAGTAATAAAAAATTACATAGATATTCTAAGTTCCTTACATTTTTCAGGTATGTCGCTTAATGTAGGTTTCTATGAAGAAAGAAGTAATGATGCGGACGCAGATAGTATACAGGTAATAATAATGATTCAATTTTCATTCTCATAATAAACGCTTGATTAATTCCTTTGAACTTTTTAACTACTCTTAAAATAGACCTTATAGCTACTCTTTTTCAATTTGAATAATCATATAATATTCGTGGTATTATTACCTAAAACTAACGAAAACAAGTTGAATTTGATTGAAATTAATAAAAGAAGCAGTTTTAAGTCAAACGTTTATTTTATATTAAGTATTTAAAGAAAATGATATCCAAAGAAAAAAATATCTAAAAAAGTCTTGGCGATTACGACAGACGCTCGTCTAGCTCGATAGACACCTATCTTTGGTGCAGTTGATTTGTTTCTATTAAAAATCGTGTGATAGATTGTTTTAAATCAAAGAAATAAAGAATCCGTTAATTTCAGGCTCCATGTCCAGTTAACACTACATGCGTACCGATAAGTTCATGTCCACTGCTAGAAGACTTGTTAGATTTCTCTTGCTTCACATCAGACAGGTAAGTTATTTTACCACTTAAATTATTATCGCTGAATACCTTAACCTTATGTTTTATTTAGAAATTCTTGGTTTATCCTCCACTGGATTTATCAATAGCCGCTAAATCATCATTATTATTATCTTCCAAAATTTGGTTAACAGTTTTAAGTGGAAGCAACTAAATATCAATTTGTTTACATAGGTAACTACTAAATACTTGCATACAAAATACTTGTCTGGTCTTCCTTTTTGTTTTGGTGGCCTACCCCTAATACTTTTTTTATGTTAAAAGGGTGACAAGCGAATGGCGAGTACGTGAAGTAAGTCTTGATGGTAAGCGGCCAATATAGCCTAAAAATGCTTTCGATTCTTACCAAAAATATCACTCTCATCGTTGCCTGTCCTGACCCAATCCCCTACCCAGTGGAGACCTGGAACCTACTTACCGACAGAAACACCACCACCAAATGGTAGTGTTATTTTACCTCTCCGCAACATCCACGATGACGTGGACAACGTATTTTTTAAACATAGGACTAAATTACATCGTTTTGGAAATGACAGTCTGAAATAAACATTCAGCTAGTCCTATTTAATTTTTAGATAATTTTAGTATGTATTAACATTATTATAACATACTAGCTGACCCAGCGAACTTTGTACCGCCATAAAAAATAGGGGTTGGTGGTAGAAAGTTGTAAATTTAGGGATGTATGTATTTTTGTATGATGTATCATAATTTTTATTTTATCTAAAATTGAAAAAAAAAGTTTAGGGGTGGATTACCTTTAACATTTAGGGGGATGAAAAATAGATGTTGTCCGATTCTCAGACCTACCCAATATGCACACAAAATTTCATTAGAATCGGGAAAGCCGTTTCGGAGGAGTTTAACCACAAACACCGCGACACGAGAATTTTATATATTAGATATAGTTTTTTTTTATTAATTTTGTCAATTTTGTCATATGGGTCTTTTGTCTGAAATAAAGAAATTATTATTAATATTATTTACTGTGATCTTCAGTACTAATTAAACAACCAGCAGTAATAATCATAATCAAATTCATTTATTCAATTTAGGCTGTTACAAGCACTCATGAATGTCTGTAACCTAGAAGCTACGCCATCGGTTTGTAAATCTATGGCGGGAGACCTTGTACTGAGAAGAACCGGCAAGAAACTCAGCAAGGGCTGGTTTTTTCTCCCTGTTTTATTATTTCAAGAGTCGTCAAGTTGAAAAAATGACTTCAGAGATGATTCATGAAGTCAACCTTTAGTACATAATGTGAAATATACATTAATTGTTCACCTGCATTTTGATTGCTGTGTCATAGAGTATAAATACAAATAGTGATCTTTATATTATGTGTAACTAGGTGTAACAGGAATAACATGATTTCAGATATTTCCATCGATTGAACGAACTGACGTGCGGTCGTGTAAACAACGAAGACTACATTTGTTGTCCATCTTGTGACTGTGATGGTCTAAACGGCCCTCAATGCGGCCGCAGCATGGTCAGAGGATCAAATTACAGTGGATTAGGAGCTCATCCCTGGGTCGCCCGAGTTGGTTTTACACGTAAGTTCGTTAAACGGGTTGTATCTCATGAATCGTTATAATGTAAACAGCTGGAAATATCTTCAAAAGTGTTTTTCTTCCGTGTTTCTGAAAGTACGAAGAACGAAACCCTGTTCTATCCTCGTAAGTCCCGTGTTTTTTTAACAGCAGTAGTCATATCTGACGGATGTACTATAGCAAGTACAAATCAAGAATAGTACTTCAGACCGAGACAAGAAAAAACGCTTATACGTAATTTTTGAAGTGTGGTCTTGTTGTCTGTATTTTTCACGGTATGTTTATTATGTAAAGCACTTTTTTAAGAAGAAATTTATTGAAAATATTTTGTACTTGTGTGAGTACATTAGGTTTTTACACCGTGTAATAAAACAATGTAATAAAAGTTAAAAAAAATATTTAGTATCGAAACAAAACATATTTTTCCTCTTAACATCATTTTATTACAACGTAAACAATCTTCATTAAAAAAAAACAATTAAAAACTCAGCCTCAATGACAATTTAGGCCATTATCTTATCTTAATCAGAGAATAACGGCATCACTATACCTACTTATTAAATAAAATAGAAAACGCTGAAATTTGCAAACAATCTTCCTTACGTACTACTTATATGACATTATATAGCGAAATCACAGTCAAGTATAAGAGATCAAAATAAATGGTAATAGGCTATAATTTAACATTTTTGTCAACTGAACACGACAAAAATAGTTTTTATTTTAATTTTCTAGGAGATGAACTTGTAATATAGACCGAACGTACCGCCACAAGTACAAATATTTATGTAACAAACACCTAACGTACCACGTTAAGTACATATTATTTTGACCGTACAGAAATCTCCTTAAAATTACAGTCATCTTTTAAATTTTGTTCATTTTAAAATATTCAGAACTTATATACACTAATTCATTTATAAAACAAAAGAAAAAACAAATGATTTATTGGATATAAACCGATAATCTTACCTCGTGCTGGTCGTCGTCCCGACCGCGTAGCCATCTTGCGAAAAAGTGACACTGACACTGTCAGTTGACGTTACCTGTCAAACAGGGCGGAATCGACCATGGAATATAGAATGAGAATGACTGTGTCTGTGTTGCCGTTATAAAAAAACTACCCGGTAAATGGGGAATTAAAAATTTGTACTTCGGCAAGTACATTAGGTACGCACTCCATATATGTAGTTAAAATATCAGGTCTGAACTACTATCCTTTATTTGTACTTATACAAGTACGCGGGGACTTACGAGGCTATAGAGGTTTGCATTGGACATAAAATATACTTGTATGGACGTATAATATTATAAACTCAAACTCATTTATTAAGTCTAGTTTGTTACAAGCTCTTGTGAAAGTCAAACGCTACGCCATCGGTTCGTAAATCTACGGCGGGAGACCTTGTACTGGGAAGAACCGGCAAAAAACTCAGCAAGGGCTATTTTTTTTCTCCCTGTTTTGACATCAAAAATTGACAACATGTGTTGATGTCAACATTCGTCACATTAATATTTTTAATTAATTAAATAGTATAATTTATTGACTGACGTTGTTGTATTGATGATAAAATTTATTTAAAGTCAATTTTTCTAAATGAAAATTTTTCTAAAATTTCTTTAATTGATCAAACTGTTTTCTACAATTGTTTCGTCCTATAACTGGTTTGACTATGTATTCCATATCACTAAGCCAATCAACCAGATTTAGGAAAGCTTGTGTAATTACCTAATTCTTGGTTCCATTTGTCATAAAAACCTTACCCATAGATTTACCCTTGTCTTTCTTGATTCTGAAAATTCAGGGGCATTGCCTCCAGCTTCTACTACACTCTCCTACTGGTCTCCTGCCACAAGGACATAGAATGTTAATATTCGTTCTTACACTGAAGGTTAGGAGAACGAGGTAAGTATAACATATCATCAATGTCCTACATTGTAGGAGACTGAAGAAGGAGCTGAAGAAAGTGCTCAAATTTAGTTCCAACTGTACCGTCCTCATCATTTTCTATTTCAGATAAAGATACGGGTAATGTGAGATTTGCATGCAGTGGTTCTATTATATCTAAAAGAGTTGTATTAACAGCGGCGCATTGTGCTTTAGCAAAGCCTGAAGGATACAAACTGTGAGTATCTTTTTAATGACAATCCATTGCGCAATTAATGATAGAGCTAGTTTTCTTAATAGACCATACCTATTCATCATCATCATCATCATCATCATCAACAGCCTACCTTAGTTCACTGCTGGACATAGGCCTTTCCAATTCCACCCTACCTATTATAATTATTTGATTGCGAAAATGGGTGTCTATCTGTTACCTCTTCATGACTAAAATGCTGAACTGATTTATACGAAATTTGGTATAGAGGTAGGTACAGTCCCAGCAGGGGCATAGGATAGTTTTTATCCCAGAAAATAAGAAGGTTAAAAGGGAGTAGAAGCATGTATGGTAAACCAATTATTCCACGTAGATGAAGTCACGGGCACTGCTAGTAAGGCATAATGGGCAAAGTGATTATATTACAACTATTGCTTACAAAATAATATGTTCTACTTCTACTCCTTTCTGTAAGTTGTCTTATTGCTTTAAGATCGACCGTGGTAGTTGGAGAATGGGATATCGGCAAGAGCCCTGACTGCAATGAATACTTCTGCGCCCCTCCGACGCAAGCCATCAAGGTGGAGACTGTGATCGTTCATCCCGGCTATGAGCAGAAGATTTTCCGTCACGATATAGCGCTCATCGTATTGAAGGAAGAAATCACGTATTCAGGTAATACTGTAGCGGCGTTAAAAAGTTATATTTGACTTGCAAAGTATGTTTGGGTCACATCTTGCTGTTATTCCTCAACAAATTGAGATACAAGGCTTAACACATTTATTTATGGTTGCCAAATGACGTCCTTCTAAATCCACCATGTGTGCGGACGCTCCATGATGGCGGACGAGTATTTTTTCGCACTCCGATTATATCAAATGAAAGATTTTTTGATGCGGATTTACAAGTAGGAGTAGGTACCCATATGGAATTACCAGAGTAGTACAGTTACCATCTCCCGACACCGTATTATGAAGTCTTAACGACAAGCAAAACAGCAGTTGAAGCGAAATGCTGAGCTACTGTGCGTATGTGATATCTCGGTTTCACTACGAAACTTGACTGGCATAAAGAGCCCTTTTACAATATTGCGCCGCTGCCGTACTGATCGGCGCGTAGGTATATTGCATTTGACCGGTGATGTTTCGAGTCTTTTAAAATAATTATTAATGAACTAATTATAAAAATATATTTTTACGTATTTCAGTAGTTTAATGATGGCAGATTAGTTTAATGAAAGTTTTCGAGAATACGAGGTAAACCTGCACAATTTTTTGGGAAAACTCACGGAGGTTAGATGTTCTTTTTGATAATTAATGAGATAGAAAATCAAAATTCTAATACATTATGTTACAACAAAAACATATTTCTGATATTGTACTAATTTATTTGATCTAATTTATTGAACATTATTGAGAGATTGAGGCGTTTGAAGTTATGCCTATTATCGTTTTTTCCGTAAACTAGCTGCAATAGAACGATCAGTACAAAAAAACTAAAATAGTATTTCAAATATTCTTCATTCAGTTACAATAAGAACTACTATTTACTTCTATTGGAAATTGTCAAAATCTTTTCTAAGGGAGTAAACGAGGCGCTCAAAAATTACGATTTTTTGCAAAACTGTGAAAGGGCTCTTAAGAGTTCATTATACAGCCTCTGATGATTGCATACAGTTGACATGACGATAAATTAGCAATTCCGAAGAATGAGCAGGAAATTAGGGTTCACACCACCACCAGCTACAATGACTACGGAAGCTGATGGTAGTTACTGATATTAATTTGACTTTTGATTTCCGACTTATGACCTTGACTGTAACCGCTGACCGTCTGTCTGTTGATGTTATCATGAACCATTTGATTTTGTTTAAATACGCTAACTAAGAATAGATATTTGTTATATTTTTAGAAGTGACGTTCAGGATTTTTGAGAAAGATCAAGATGAAAAGATTTTCAAAAGTCGTTTCATTAATGACGATTTTTTTTTCAAATAATGGCATATTTTCTCGACTAGTTTATGACTTGTAACTAGGTATAAATATATAATACTGAAATCTGTTCAGACTTAAACTAATACAAAGTTAAAATTTTAGTTATTCATGAATTTACCTAATTAATATATTCACCAGTCTCCCGCAATAATGTTGAGCTCTAAGTGTCATCTAAGCTAACGTAACCTACTTGCTGAAAATAAATAAATAATTACAATTAATAGCAAAGCAACGATGCATTCTGAGGCATTAATTTATTTAATGAGAAATTAATTTATTTACAGTAACTTCTGCACCGATTTGCCTCAACGATAAGCCCGAGATCGTAATTAACGAACGTGCATCTCTCGTTGGATGGGGCAAGCTCTCTGGCCAAACAAATGTGGTGAGTTAAGTCAGACACAAATTCTTACATTCTTTACTATTATAAAACAAATTGTGTGCACGGACCACACATCTGAAGTGACTTTTTAACACGCTTTTTTTCTTAAATAACCTAACATTAGGCGGTGCATAAAGCATAGGGGAATGGAGCAGCGCACGCATCACTCACACATATATATATTGTCCGAAAAGAAGTTTCACTTCAGAATATGAACAAAACCTGGCCGAAGTTTGTTGTATAAAGGACATTGTTCTGCGTTCATACATAGTTAGCCTAAGAACCAACAATCATGAAATATTATTTTCTAGGTTCGAAATCGCAAGTAAATGACTGTAAAATCAAAAATTATTGACGGACACTTCTGAGAACTTAAATTATTAGGAAAATTATATTTTTTTGAGGTTTAATATTTAATGAAACATAGGTCAACCTACGAACTTAGTATGAACTCAGTATGAAGTGAATTAATATTGCAACTAATTCATTTTATTCGGTGCGATTTTAAAGAATAACTATTAGGAAAAACTTGGTTAGGTAGGAATCATGAATAAAATAAAAACTGTAGTTTTGCTTCTTATTATTTATTGGCTATTTTTCACATAATTGTATCATATTGTATTTATTTGTTTAACACATGTATATTGTGAATGTGTATCCGGTGCTGTTGAATAATTTGGCAGTATGATCCTCTCAGGATGTTGTGGCACAGGTTCACTAGCACTTGGTAATAAGGTCTCTGCACTTTGGTAACATCGATGGCATATTAGATAGCCGAAATAGTAATAGTTAAATTAAAGGAAAAACAATCGCAAATAAACACACACAACAGGCAATCCGAAACGAGAATTTTCCGTGCATAAAAAGTACTCTTTGACGAGAATGCACGAATGCCACAGATTACTGCGAATGCAAACTGCCTGCATCACAACCACAGAGTATCGAGTTTATGCCGGCCCTTCATTTGACAACTTATTAAGCATGACAAGGACAAACTGATGTCATGTTTTTAAATAGCAAATACGAATAGCCAAGTGAAGTACCGGCATTAGGAATAAAGAGTGTTTTGTTTGCAGCGCTGTCATAGATTATACACATAAAATGGTATTTATTGTCTCAGATTATTCATTAACTTTTTAATTTAGCTTACTTAACTGGAAGTGTCCGACACAATCTAAATACTGATAATTATCGCAAAAAATTTACTAAGAATTATCATATATGCCAAATTGGTGTTGGTTCTTGGGCCAATTTTACCATTGTCCTTTATCCGCTTATTTTCTCTTGGCTGTTCCCTTGAGAAACACTCGAATATTACGCTATACACTCAAGGGAATAGCTAAGGGTACTCAGGGATGACAAGTTTCGGTCCGACTATCACGTTCACTTCACTATTACACCAGTGACAGCTACCGTGTTTGCCCCTGGTCTTGTAGTAGCTATTACGGATGCCTCGACAGTTGAACCCCATGTAGTATAGAGCTTATAGACTAGATATAGAGCTGGTAGACTAAATATAGAGCTTGTAGACTAGATAATTGATTGGTGGTGATATTGAAGACATCACATGATCATTTATTTACGGGCAGTCGATCTGTGCACTTATTTAGTAAAATTTCAAATAGAGGTTCATAAATAGAGGTGACTTTAAACAGTTCAGTACCCCAAGCACGAACCATTATCGAATTCGAATAGTTTGCAAACCGAAATGTCAATGTCAAATTTTTTATGGAAACTTGAACAGCAGCAGCACAGTACAGTACCTGTACTCTTTTATTTTGGTAACGAATTTGTCGATGTAATATTTCCTTATACCATTTAATGATAGAGTTCCAGAAAATGGTTTTAGCAGATAATTATATTTAACACTGTAATAATTAATGGTTGCCGATAGTACATTTTTTTATACAAATATTAACAGTTAAAAAGCTTTTGTAGGCAAATTATATTTATTCAGATGGGCGTTCAAATCTATTCCTTCACCTCTCTTCTTAAAATCATAGTCTTCTATTTACAATGAATTTTGTTTTACTCCAAGTTAGCCATTTGCAACTTCTAGGTGCTATTCTAGTTAAATTGGAACATTGTACGAGAATATAATAGATCGCGCTCCCATTCGTCGTTCCACCTCTTTTCTCCAGCTAACGTTACCTACTTGTCTATCATAAAGATTTCTTCTATTCACTGTTAAATCTTGTTCTACTCCAGGTGAGCCGCCAGCAACTTCTAGATGTTCCTCTGGTTACGTTAGAGCACTGCGAGAGGATATTCTAGATGGCGCACCTAATTCGTCGTTGCATCTCTCTTTCCCTTTTCTAAACCTTTCTTCTATTTATTGTTTAATCTTCTTCTATTTCAGGTGAGTCGTCAGCAACTCCTAGACGTTCCTCTGGTTCCGTTGGAGCACTGCGAGAGGATCTTCGGGGAGACTGTCCCAGTGCATGAAGGTCAGCTGTGCGCGGGCGGGGAGGAAGGCAAGGATGCTTGCTCTGGATTTGGAGGGGCGCCCCTGTTGTTTATGAGGGACAACGTGTATGTGCAAGTAAGACTATTATATGTATTAAACAACTACACCTTAATTTTGTTATCACGAACTCCTCCAGGCTTTGAAAGGCCGTTCACTTCACGGCTACATAATTCAAATTTTATATCGTTTATTTAGTTTAGGCTGCCCTTAGGAGTTTACCCTTGTGAAGAACCAGCAAGAAACTCAGCAAAGCCTGTTGTTTCCTTTTCTATTGTTATATGCAGAGATGAAAAAATGAAAAATGCCTTCAAAAATGGCAGCATATAATATAATATATGTACATATATTATATATATATATATATATGTACATATATTATATATATATATATGTACATATATTATATATATATATATATTTATATAAATATAAAGACAGACAAGACAAATGAAAGGACATAATAATGAATACAAATTTGCGACAGCGCTTCAATAAAATTACTCCACAATGGTTAGATTCCCTACGCTTTGTTCTCATTCTTTGAACTACACCACGCTGTGTGCAATTTCATAAGGCAACAAAGAATGAAAATATCAGCGTTAATTATGAAAATCGCTTTTTTCATCAAGATTCCTATATCATCAACGAATTAGAAATGATATGGAATACGAAATGCGCTAAAAATGGTTCCAAGGAAAATGTGATCAAGTGTGCGGGCGAAAAAAATGCGATCAACAAGCCGATCACACAATTGGTTGGGATATCCGTTTAACATTATCTTACCCAATGAATGGATAGCCTAATTCATTCACAGATATTTGATTTGTGGCGCGTTAGTATTGAAGTTTAGTTGCATGAGTTTGGAACCATGTTATAGCGGCTTTTGTTAGAGAGTAATGCTTCAATATCATTTGTAATTCGTTGTATTTCATATACACATTTATTCTATTTTTTACAGGTCGGTATAGTTTCCTTCGGATCAGAGAACTGTGGAAGCGAAGGAGTCCCGAGCGTTTACACGAACGTAGCTCACTACCACGACTGGATTGTCAGCAACTCGCCTAGATATTAGGAATAAGTCTATTCTGCCTCTGATTCTGGCATGATTCTTTAAGTTTAAAAGTAAATTTGATATCAGTTCATCCTTTTCATCATCTGTAGAGCAGGATAGGATAGGATCTATACTTCGAGAACTCGGCATCAAGCAGCGTTTATCGTCTGTGGTGCAATCTCGTTTCCTCACTTTTTTTGGTCACGTATGCCGCCGAGGGGAGGTGGCTATTGAGCGACTTGTGGTCCAGGGAAAGGTTGAGGGTACCAGGTCAAGAGGAAGATCTCCTATGATGTGGACTGACCAAATAAAAGCTGCAGTAACTGGCTCATCATCATTACACGAATGCACAAGGAAGGCGGCCATCAGAGATGAGTGGCGGCGTGTTGTGAAGCTTGCCACCAACACCTGTATTGAAGACCACGACCACTCTGTCAAGAGTGATACCGACAAAGAAGAAGAGAGCAGGATATATATTACCGCTGTCAAATTTAATTTTAGGTTTAGAGAGTTGAACCAGTACTGGGCCTTAAATTATTATTGTTCTAAGAATTCTTTTTGATATATGAATGTGACAATGTTAAACTTTGGAATAATTTAAAAAACAAATCGAGTTTTCTTAAATATTTCTCTAAACTATTCCAAGCAGTATTAAAGACAGTTGATCAAAAATATCTATAGCATTTTTATGTTACATAGTAAAATATCTCTTTAATAATATATTTTCACTGTTTGCCTTGCCACTTACCAAGTGGCAAAAACTTGAAATAAAATGAAAAACCGTCCACATGTAATTAATAAGTTATTTATTATTTAACAACAACATAAATAAAGATCTTATGTACATTGGTAGCTATTAAGAAATGATTATTATAAACAGTTTGCTCTTATTTTCTCACACTAGCACATATTTAAGAGCCATATTATTGTAGTGTTGCGCGCACTGCTTAGTCTCTTTGAGGATGGAGCAAATAGTGCCTTTCAAGTCTATCTGCGAATGGTCCTGGATTTGCTGGTTGAAGATCTAAAACCACAGAAATGGGTTTGATTAGATTGGATAAGTGTAATTTAACTTAGTACACCCATGTAATTTTATTTATATCTCCATTGATAGGCTCAGATCTTTCCAATAGATGGAATAGGGTGAACGCGCCGTGCTTAAACCCACTCATTATCAGTCTTTTAATGTCTTCAATGTGTCTGAGGAGCTCGATGGCGCAGGTGGTAAGCGCGTTTGGCCTGCGATCGTGCAAGCTAAGCAACTTTCGTAATGGTCGGTCTTTGGATGAGTAAATAAAAACTTATTATAACCTCTCATCCGTGCTTCGGAAGGTACGTTTAACCATTGGTCCCGGTTGCATCTGCAGTTGTAAGCACCCACCAATCCGAACTGGGAACCCGTATGGTGGGTCACGATCCAATAACTCTATCACAACCATAGTGAAGGCCTGTGCCCCAACAGTGGGGACATTAATAGGCTGGTGATGATGATAAATTTGAATAGAATATGGAGGACAGGCCATACATAATCCACCACACACCTGCACAGTGCTAATTGGTGGGTGCTAACGACTGCAGGCGCCAACCGGGATCAACGGCTTAACGTGCCTTCAGAAGCATGGAAACCACGAGATAATAGGTACGTTTTTGGTTACCCACTCTGTGAACCTAACTTCTACGATCGCAGACTGATTGCGCTGGACCATTCCTAAAGAAAGACACGGAAACCAACATTGAATCCGATTCACTCCAAATCCGAGTTTTTCACCACTGACTAGATTTATTTCCTGACCCGGTGGCCGAGGGGTTTGTCGCCTTGTTTCAAGGTGTCGCCTACTCGAGATATCTCGGGTTCGAATTCCGGTGGGGGGCAGATGTTTGTGTGATGAATACGAGCATTTGTACTCCAGTCATGGATGTTTAATATGTATTTCTATTTAAATATACTTATATATGTATCAGTATATGTATTTTATCCTTTACCCTAGTATCCCATAACACAAGCCTGCAGTGCTTACTTTGGAGCTAGGCTAATTGAGGCCATGAGAACCATAGTGGCCTAACTCATTTTTTTAACCATAGTAGCTTATCTTACTTAGGCCAGTATGGCACCTCAAATTTAGATCAAAGACTAAAAACGTAATAGTGATTATGCTGCCATCTAGTGAATATTTGTTGTATCACTTTTAGACCACTTTGGTTCTATCATAAGATAGGTAGATAGATAATGCGTTTATTTTTTCTTCAACATACATATACATTTACAGACAGAGTAATATAATAAAAAAGATACAAAAAATCAGCTATGAAATATACATATGTATGCTGCAGAAAGCAAAATGCCAAGGCTCGGCTAAACATAATGATCAATTTGAACTGGAAAAAATCATAAACTCAATATTGTAAAAATAAATTGGTGAGAGTGTTGAAATTATTTATTTATTTATTTCGCAGCAGGTCGAAAACTACTTTATTGTAGGCGTCTTCCTAACCAGATTGTTTCGTTTACGTTTCTGTGCCAACTCTGTATAGATTTTTTACCGAAAACCACTTCTTGGCTGGCTCGGTTTCGGTGCGATATCGTTTCGTTTTGTTTGCTACGGTGTTTGTCGTTTGTTATAGTGCCATTAGGTCGGTCGGGCGAATCGAATGGTTCCATAGCACTTGGCAGAGAATCTGCACAGAGTCGGTACAGAATCTGCACAGATTCGGTACAGAAAAAAAATGAAACAAGCCCGCACCAATCCGATAAGGCGGGAGACTTAGAAATTAAAAACAACACAAATTGGAGGTAATATTATGACACTTACCCCGTCAATAGTGACTGTTGGTATGAATTTCGGGCTGATGAGTCCCGTGAGGAATTCAGCATCTAATTGTAACTCAGTGCCTTCTCCGGATTCAATGCACTGGTTCACCATCTCAGGGTCCAAATTAGCTTGTTGTACGCACTGGAACAGCAGTAATTTATCACATTCAGATCTTTTAAGTGTACGTTGTAGTGGAAAAATTGCAACAGGCAACAGGATATTTGCATATATAATATTAACTTTATGTTTTTTAAACCGTTTTGGTTCCATAAAGATTAATTCCGACTACTTTTACTTACTATTGGCTAAATGACTACATTATGGTGTTTTTGCATCCTGAATATATTTTTTGACACCTTGATTAGCGTGTTATTAACAGTCGTTAATATCGGATGCGTTATTGCGATAATTCGTACTACTTCTATTGCTTCGTCATTATCCCAGCAGTGTGAAGCGGTCTTAAAGGGGCCCATATACGGAACGATTGATCTGTACGATCCGTCGTTTCAGACCAATCGAAACGATGGATCGACAGTGTATTTCAAGATCGTTAACGATTTACTTAATCACAGACGATATCGGAGATCGCAACAAAAACCCATGCAATCATGAATATCGTAAACGATCGATCGTCAGTGTCCCATATACGGTACGATTGATATGTACGATCCGTCGTTTCAAACCGATCGAAACGATGGATCGACAGTGTATGTCAAGATCGTTAACGATTTACTTAATCGAAGACGATATCGCAAAATCGTAACCAAATCCCATGCAATCATGAATATCGTAAACGATCGATCGACAGTGTTTCGTGTATGTAGTGGCATTTCTGAACGATCGATCGTTGACGATTTCCTTCAGATCGATCGCAACGACGAATCGTTCCGTATATGGGGCCCTTAATACATAATGTAGTAAAACAGTTATCGCAATAACGCATTTGATATTTTCAACCGATAATAAAGCGCGAGGCTTTTTATAACTTGATTAATAGCTTAATGTGCTGCTGGGTCAAAAGGGTCGAAACCAGACGACGCTCAGTGAGTAGGTCCTTCACGACGAGGTGGGACAACAATCTGGAAATGCCGCGAGAAACCGCTGGATGCAAATTGCGCAGGACCCTTGCAAGGACGGATCCAGCTTTGGCGCCAGGGGGGGGAGGGGTCATATAGTCGTGGTCAAGTCACAGTGGGTACAGGGTACAGATTGTGAAGTGGGTACAGATGGACCCAGCCCAGTAGGGGCCGGGGTCATGACCCCCATGACCCCCCCTCTGGATCCGCCCTTGGACCCTTGGAAAAAAAAACACTTTTTTTTATTGTTTTAAACTTTTATGGTCACTAACATTACAGTAATTTATGTTATTTAGGGGATTGTTACCACGTACCTTGTTCTTAATGAGTTTCTGATATTTCGGCACTGTTGGAAGCACCATGAACACGCAGTAATATCGGAAACTCACTAAAAATAAGGTAAGTGGTAACATATCATATATCCTGTAAATAGCATAAATTTCCTGTTTTTTGAGTGTGTATGCTGTTGGTCGCAGATGACCTTTACGGCGTCACCGGGTTTGGGGACGGTGAGATCTTAAGGTGGCCTCAAGCCGAGAATTGGCGAGTGGCTCTAGAAGTATATATATAGAAGGCAGCTCTAGATCTGCGAGGGTCGGCCACTCGAACCTGCGAGGGTCGGCACAACCAGAGGGCGTCTCTGAGACTCTGCTCTAGTTAGCCGTTATGTGGGAAGCATAAATTACTGTAAGATAGTTTATATTTAACCTTTTATAGTATACCAACTTGGTTACAAAGAGGAAGAAACATTTTGGTTAGGTACTTTACCTTATAAAAATTTGTGTCGTCGAAGTACTCACCGTAAGGTCGCCTCTGGTGGAAGCCAATGACTTCATTTCGCAAGCTACGTACTCCGCTTTCTTCAAGTCAGTCTTGCTTCGCATCAGGTTGAGGGCACAGCTTTGTATGATGTTGCCGAGGCACTCGGAGGGGCCGTGCTGGCACTCGAATCCACGGTAACCCTGTTCTATACTCTGTAACGGAAATGAAATCACCGTTAATGGTTAAGGTTTTGTAAAATGTTATAAGAGATGTAGACCTTTTTCGGTCGCATTGGAGCCCAAGTCTAAAGAAGTAGTTATACTTTTTTAAATCAAGATTTAAAAGAAAATTTTACTAGAAAAAATCCACGCGGACCAGGCAGCAGACGGTACCGCACCCTTCGCTATCCGGGCGAATGCACTGAACATCATACTACCTCGGCCCAGATGGCCGTGTCGCATTTTCTCAGACATTTCTTAGAAGACAGCGCTATCTCTTTGCATTGTCTTGAGAAGTAACCTCCACATTAAACGAATTCACAGTGAAATTACATTTTGGTGGTGTTGTATAGAAATACAACTTCTGTCGGTGAGGTTCTAGGACTCCACGAGGTAGTGCAGGAAGTCTATGTGTGATGGAGGCCGCTTACAACTACGCGGACTTTTATGTTTGTATGACATAGTTTTTACATAAAAAACAGGGCAATTGCAAACCGGACAAGTGCGAATCGGACGAGTACGAACAGGACAAGTGCGAACCGTATAAGTGCGAACAGGACAAGCTGAACCTGGCCTACGTTGCCGCCGACTTACTGTGGCCACTATTCCTACACGAACAAAGAAATTAGGTGACTCATTTCTTTGTCGTACTATTCGTAAGTGAAATTCTTTACCCGCGCACGTGTTTCCTCCTTCCTATAATCTGGGGTCCTTTAAGAGAGGCGTGAAGAAGCATTTTTGCAGGCCGGCATGGTGAGGATGGTTAATGTAGCAGTTTATAACTGCTGTACCAGCTTTCTTCGCGTTTGGACCTTATCACCATTTAACATCAGGTGGGGTAGAGACATTTGCCTAACTCGCCATAAAAAAAAAACAGGCAAGTGCGAATAGGACAAGTGCGAAGCAACATTAATAGCCGTACCTCATTTGCGTAAGTTTACTTAGAAGTAAGATTTTTTACAGCATAAAGAGACCGTAAACCTGAGTATACGGTTTAAATGTCAACTTGCTGCGTTTAAAGTTATGTAACTGAGTGCGGGCACCTATTGTCTTACTGTGTCGTTAAGACATTGACAGCACTAACTATAATCAAATTTCATCATCATCATCATCGACCCATGCTCGTCCACTGTTGGACATAGGTCTCCCCTAATGCACGCCACTTCTGCCACTCTCATCCAGCTCACGCCAGCCAGCCTACGAATGTCATCATCCCATCTTGTCTCAGGGCGTCCCACACTACGTTTACCGAGTCGCGGTCTCCACTCAAGAACTTTACGGCTCCATCGGCCGTCAGTTCTGCGGCTAATGTGACCAGCCCACTGCCACTTCAGTTTGCTAATTCGGTGGGCTATGTCGGTGACTCTGGTTATCTGTCGGATTACATCATTTCTGATGCGGTCTTTTAGGGATACTCCGAGCATAGCCCTTTCCATAGCTCTCTGAGCGACTTTAAACTGGTGGAGCAGTCCAGCCGTGAGTGTCCACGTCTCGGCGCCGTATGTCATAACTGGGAGGACGCACTGGTCGAAGACTTTCGACTTGAGACATTGAGTAATGGGTATATATTATAATTATAATCAAATTTAAAGTCTTCAAATAAAGAATTGTAATGCTTCTTACCTTCGCCTTTCCGAAAGGCACCAGCTGCAGTATAATGTTGTTAGGAAGCATCTTCATCGTCGGCATCAGTTGGTTCAGTACGAAATCTCTGCTGTCCGGACATTTGCTCTCATAGTAAACGGACAGGAGCAACTGGAAAACACAGAAAAAATATCGTCACTTAAGGATGGTGATTCTTTCCGAAAAAGATCGATTTTAAAATCGATTCGAATCGTGACCTAATGAATCGATCCACCAAAAACTCAAGGCCATCGGTAAACGAGGCAGTCGGTAAGCGATATTTGACAATTGTCAAAACTATGAATGAAAATATATATAAAAATACATACAACCCTTAATTTTCACCCTTATACCACGAAACCCTATTTTTTATGGCGGTACGAAGTTCGCTGGGACAGCTAGTGTAAATATATACCTACAAATATTAAAAACACAGATCTCGTGTTCTACACGACTTGAAAGGGCATTGAAAATGAATCTATCTATCATAGATAATTATATTTTTTTTTCAAAACCAACTTTTCCAACATATTTTTACATCATCTTAATGCCCTTCGAATTCCGCGCCCTGCGTTCTCGTGGGCTCATGCGTTCTCGTGGGCGCACACGCAAAACTAATGAATATAAATGGCTAATGGCACCTCTACAGCCTCAACCGTCACCAATATCGAATTTTTTCTTTTATCATATTTTTGGAATTCGGCCCCTTTCTCGGGATATGGGAAATTTAGCAATTTCTAAAAAAGTTTTTAACTTTTCCAAAATAATGTTTTTTTTACACTCTTGACAGAGTGGTCGTGGTCGTCACATCAGGGTTGGTGGCGTGCTTCACAATACGCCGCCGTTCGTCCCGCACTGCGGCCTTTCTCGTGCACTCGTGAAGTGGACCGTTCAGTGCCGCTTTTATCTGGTCAGTCCAGCGCATTGGTGATCAGCCACGCGCCCTTACGCCCTCGACTTTGCCCTGCACTGGTGGTGCAGGGCAAAGTTGTCGTTCCACTGACGCATCTTCTCGGCGTGAGATGTGGCCAAAGAAAGTAAGAATACGACCTTGTACGATGGAAGACAGAGGTTGTTTCATGGACAGTTCCTGGAGGATGGATGCATTGGTTCGGAATTGTGTCCACTGTATGCCAAGCATTTACCTCCAGCACCACATTTCTAGAGCGTCTATATTCTTTTTCTCACTCCCTCGCACGGTCCACGTCTCATCACCATAGAGGAATATGGGAAACACTAATGCCCTGACGAGTCGTGTTTTCGCGGCTTTTGTGATGCTCCTGTATAATAATGTTTCAACATATTCTTAAAGCCCTTCAAATTCCGCGTCTTTTGAGCCCTCATACGTCCTCGTGGCTCTAAACCTCGACGTATCACGGGCGAGTCACACTTTCAGCGAAAAGGGGGGCCCAACTGGAGCAAACGAAAAAACATTTCCAATGTTAAAATAAATAACTGCGCAGGACTCTTTGGACGTTGCTCAAGACGTTTACCAGAGTGTATAATAGGCTCCCATTATCACCGTTGGGTTGTGGAACTATAAAAACGCTTACATGATTGCGTGTGTTATCTAAATGATCAGTATAAACGATATTTAAATGTGTATAGACCTCATGTGACAGGATAGGAAGGTCGGCAACCACGATATGTGGGGCAGTGAAAGTTGCCCCATGGATAAATATGTATCACATTTCTTGTTTTGTCAAAGTCTCTTGGTAAGGACAATTATATTTATTATTATTCAAATAGAATTCTTACAGGATATACTGATATATATGAAACATTAGAATGGTCACCCTATCAAATAAAAATCCGATTTCAGTTACTATATTTTTTTTTAATATTTTAACTATCTATTTTGATATCAATTAAGTAAAGCAAAAAATAATAAACCTTTGTTATTAAACACTAATTTAAACTTTAAACACACTCGTTTAATAATCGGGGAACACCCTATTAATAACAATTTATATGGCAATATTAACAATAATTTATATGGCAAAATGAAAATGTTGTTTGTACTATCTTTCTCGCAAATTTTTCATATTTTCTCTTCGTTTAAACCTTCTCTGGACTACGATAAACATTTTAAAACCAAAATCAGCTAAACTCAGCCGTCCTCGAGTTTTAACGAGACAACAATAGATTTTTATTTAAAGATATAAATAATAAAATTAAAGTCCACTTACAGCAATTTTGATAATTATAATTTTCGTTTCATTTTCAACATCACATTAAAATTTGATATTAAGGTTAAATGAAAAAGGTTTATATTTTTTGTGCTTTTCAGTTTTTTCGGCGGTTAAATTGTTTTTGTTACTAAAGAGTGTTTGTAATATTTTATGGCTAGAATTTTTATAATACACAACTCAGTGTGAATGGTACGCTCAATTTAACGGTATGATTAATACGACAACAATCATCACTAAACACGTGTGCTGTCATAAAAAAGTAAAATATTGGGTATAGTGCGTTTCATCACATAGTTCCTATGCCGTCATGTTGGTTAACAATTTAACAAAGCAATTTAATTGGTTAACAAGTTAACCAGGAGAGATGTCTTAACGTGATAACACTGTTGACAGACAGTGTGCCAACATGACGGCATAGGAACTATTTGATAATATGAGGAGCAGGCGAACAAAACGGTATAATAACGCATCTGGTCAAAATACATTTTTTTTAAAGTCCGGATATGTTGGTCCTGCTGAATTAGAATCTCAACTCATTTTCAATCAAAACCGCCAAAAAACAGCGTTAAAATTATTAAATGAATAAGTTAAAACCCATGCCAAAAGCTCACTGTAGGTATGTCATTCAGTTTTTTACTGCTCCTGTAAAATTTAATTTTATGTAATTATGCCGTTTTGTTTGCCAGCTCCTCATATATTTTTACTTTATAAAGTAAAAAAAGCCTTCATATAGGTAGCTACTTATAAGTACCTACCTATATGAAGGCTTAACAGCGGTATCTATTTTTCCTTAGAAAAACAATTTCTCATCTAATATAATGGTAAATTAATTATATTCATACTTTACTTAATTAAACAACAAAAGCTTAAAATTACTTAATGTCTAAAAACTTATAAATAGAATTAGTCTGTGCGGAAAGTGAATGGGCGTGGCGAAAAACGGTACTAACATTAAGATTTTTATTTGGCAATCAACCCAGCAATCCGTAAAACGTCAAAGTTTTGTATTTTTTATTTATTTATTTCAAGTAACAAAGACTCATATTATACATAATACATTAATTAACTATTTATTATTATTTATTTATTAAATTTATATTATTTCTGAACAATCACTAATAATCAAAATTGAATTGCAACATTTAAAATACATATTAATATATATAGATACGGATTTGTTTGTTGTTGTGATTTCTTACGGTTTTTTGTATAATTTAATCATGTCTAAATGGGGTAAAACCTTACAAATACGGTAGAAAAGCACTACAGCGCCCTCCAATCTGAATCCCATTATCTTTCCGCACAGACTCTATCTTAAAATTTACCTACTTAAATAAATACAAATTTACAAAATATATATCACCGCCAGTGCCGCCGCCTTAGTTCTTAGTTAAGTTTTTGTCATGACAATTTACGAATATGACAAAGAAATTCGTCACTGAACTAAAGTTGCAATCCGCAATAGAGGGGCATTATATATTTCTGATCGTTAGTCAATTGTTCATTTATGTAAACACCGACAACACAGAAAAAAGGCGATTAATTGGTGAAGAGATATTACTATAGCAAAAAATGTGTTTAAAATGAGAAAATAGACGTAAACAATGGAGTATTAACTAGTGCACAAAAGAGTCAAGAGATATTTTAAGTTTCTCTATCCCTCATGTTTCACACAGGAGACAATGATTATTACAATTAACAAAAACATGGTTTTGCCGAGAGCACAGAACACAGAAGATGGTTAGAAGGGCGTTGTATTCCAAAACATGGTTCTGATTGTGTACGAGCCGACTCGTACAGTTTTTGTCTAGTTTGCACTTTACGCCACATTCGATAATTTAGGTCATGCTCACATCAGTCTGCCATCGGTATTCATTCTAGCCGCGCATACTCATATCAATTATCATATCATTCTTATAAGTTTAATTTGTTTAATATATCATTTATTTTATATCAGGATTTTCACTTTATCAAATCTATCATAAACAGGTGTGCAAACCGCACATCTTTTTTGGTCCTTCGAGCCGGATATGAAATAGCGACCTATGGATGCTTGCTTGAAGTCGTTGCTCTCGGGTGTGAGCGCTGATTGGTTCGATTGTTTGATGTCGCGTCATTTGATTGGCTATTTTACTATTAAGTGATAGTGTAGTGGCGGCGAACCGGTGACAGGGTGGTCATAGATCGGATGACCACCCTTCTACCCTCTTTCTGCCGAGAGACAAAGTGTCAAGCAATCGGCCTACAATGGTGAAGTTAAGCATCTTTCACAGTGGCCGGTCATCTGATGGGTGACAAAAATGTATTATCTCGAGTTCCTCCGTGCTTCGGAAGGCACGTTATGTCGTTGGTCCCGGCTGCATCTGCAGTCGTAAGCACCCACCGCCGCACCGCCGCAACCGCAATGGGCCGATATGGTGGGACTTGGTCCAAACTCCCTATTCCATCTGATGATGACGATCCAACTAATCTAGGAGGTCTATAATGGCGAGATTTTAAGTTTCAAAGGTATATATATAAAGGTATATTGCTGTTAAAACGTTTTAATTTTTGTGTGTATGCTGACCTTTACAGTGTCACTGGGTTTGGGGACGGCGAGATCCTAAGGGGACCTCAAGGCGAGATTGGGGGGGGGGGGGGAGTGCCTTTAGAGGTATTCTATGCGGATGGCATCTCCCCACGGGGGAGTCTCCTCTCCGTCAGTAGCCTCTAGACCACTCGAACCTGAAGGGACGGCTCAACTAGAGGTCGTCTCTGATACTCTGATCTAGACTCTAGTTAGCGGTTGTCGTTGAAAAAAAGGTGATATGAGTCTGAGTATTTATTTGCCTGACGCACTATGCATTTGTAACGCAAGTATATCTAATGTCAAAGCCTAAACTACAATAAGTAGGTAAATAATTCTGATTTTTTTAATACATTTTGTCAATAAGTTAAAAG